TAAATCTTCAAGTTTTGTTCCTGGGCATTGGAATTCGAAAGAAGAAATTAATTTCACAAGAAAAATCTTCGTCAGTAACAAACTGTAACGCCAACCTGAATCACAATTGAATAAAAAAAAGAGAAAAAATTAAATTATTTAAGATATTGTTTATTTTTTTGTTCATTTGAGATTTTAAGTACTTACCAATACAACTACGTGTACCTTTGGAGAAAGGTATAAAAGCGTAAGGATGCCGTTCCGACTTTGATTCGGCAAAGTGTTCAGGATCAAATTTTTTTGCATTCGGTCCCCAATGGGCTTCGTCACGTTGCATATTGAAAACGTCTAATACAACCAATGTATTCTTTGGTACCAGCGCTGTTATTGCACCCCTGTTGTCTTTAGCAGGCAAATGCATCTTAAAGTCAGAACTTACATTCCGCATATTCATGGGAACCGTTGTCAAGAGCCGCAATGATTCATGCACAACCATATCCAGATATTTCAATTGCTGCAATTGCGTTATTGTAATATCTGCAATATTTCCATCAGGATAAGTTTCATTGATTTCTTCACGTAATTTTTTCTGATAATCCAAATGGATTGCCAAACACATCAGCAGAATCATTAATCCGTTTGAAACTGTCTCAAATGACTGCGAAAAAAATGTTAAAATATTTAATGAATATTTTAATTTTCTGTTTTTTCATCATACAGAAACACTTTGATTACTTTAAATTTTTATAAAAAATTAAATTAAATTGTTTAATTAAAATCACGTTATACCATTTTGCTACTGTTTGTAAATAAAAGATATATTAAGTTTATCAAAATGTTTGTGACATCACGCAACTGGTATTGGATCCTATATAAACCATATTTGTAGATTCATATGCGTGTTAATTAAGCACTTTTAATAAGAAAGTATACAATGCTAACCTATTAATACCATACCAACACTAAAGAATATAATTATATATATATTTATATATATATATAAATTAATTTATATATATAAATATATAAATTAACTATTTTAACAAAGTATACTGGACTGAACCGTAGTCATGCAAACAAAAATAATTCCAGACCCCAAGATACTGCTGAATAAACATTAAAATGAATACGAACCGGAAAGTAAAGTATAGAAATTCTCATAACATTTAAAAGAGATTAGAGCAATATACCTACAAGCAATAATTTGTACAGACATTCGAAGCTCCAGTAGATTTTTTTGAAGAGTATAGCACGTTTGCAACGTATTAATTATTCCAAAATGATCTGGAGCTTTTTAAGTAAACATAGTATGTCGAGTCGATATATAATAATACATCGCCCTAGATTCAACAGTATACACTGAAATCAAAATGAAATTTAACTGATTAGTTAAAAGTCGATCAAGAATGTCTGAATGCAAATTTTTCCCCATAAAGTTATGACTTCTGTATATTAAAAAGTAAAAACTATAACATATAGCTTTATTCATACATTTGAGGAAAAACTAATGAGAATATACATTTTACTATATAAAAAGTCGTTGATTACGGTGACCAAATTGAATTACACCACAAATAACTTTTTTATTAATTATATTTAACAGATTTGTCCCACACTAATTAATACCTGCTCACAAATCACAAAAGATTGTTTAAGAAAAGGGTTCTACTCCAGCAATGAGGTCTAAAACCTGTGTCCACATTAAAGCTAAAGATAAGTCGGTACACAGCAACAGCATTGAAAATTTATTTATTCAACAATAATTATTTTTAGGAACTTCATAGTGAAAAATATGGGTCATATATGGATAATTATTTAATGAGCTAAACAGATATTCACAAAAACTGACTTCTGATGATCTTCCATTTCTCATCAATTTTTTTGTGATTTCATTTTTTATGTTAACAATACCTATGCCTATATCTTATCAAATTTTTAAAGAAATGAATTTCCATCAATTATTTTATAATGTTTTATCATTTATCTTATTTAATTATATTTCTTTTTTATTATTTCTTGTATTATATTTTTTTCATGATATTTTTTTGATTATATTTTTTTATTATATAATATTCACCTTTATTTTATTTTTTTTAATTATGACTTAAGACTCAATTAGACAGTACGTTCCGTAAGAACTTAAATCAAAGCGAAATGCACAACCATCCACAACTGTTTATTTGACAAGAATGAAATAAATAAAAGCTGAGAACTTTGTTTATTTCGCTTCTATTAAATACACAGGTATAATTGATTATGCATATCTTAAGTTTGGCTTAAGTTCGCTTCAATTCTTACGTTACGTACAGCCTAACTGCCAAAAAGGTTTCTGTAAAAGCCACAACATTAAAGATGCCATAGTAAACATAAATCAATCGCGTAGGAAATTAGTAAGTCTTTATAGTCAGAATGCGTTGTCAGAATATAAATGATAATATTGTTAAAGCAGTGGTAGAAGCTCGTTTTGCTGTTTACATTGGGTATGATGTCAGTCAACTTTTAAGAAATGACAGAGAACAGCTTACGAATGAGAAACTGCTGAAGCTAGATGAATCTGAAGACTTCGATGAAGAAAAGCCAACCAAATAAGATAATAGAGTTAAATTAATATCCCAAATTCAAGAACTAAACTTTTGCCCATATCTCAGGTTCTCTAAATAGTAGACACTATTTAGAGAACATATTTATTTTTTTGTTGCAAAGATAATTAATTAAGCTCTTTATAAATAACATAAGCAGCCGAACAAAGCTCAGCAACTAAATTTCAGTCAAAACAGAGCTGATGAGGTGAAAACCCATTCCGATTGCAAAAAAAATATCCCTGTTTATGTTCTTAAATATATTTTCTTAAATCAATTACCACTAAATCGTTTCAAATTACAATGATTCTACATCATATGTCAATTAATTGGAATCTTGCTACATACATAAATCACAAATTTGCCAAATTTGTCTTTCACTTACCACCAACATCATTGAATGGGATTCGTTCATTATATCCCGGAGCGTTAATTCGCCAAGTTGTTCTAAGTGAAATATTTGCTCAATGAAAATGCGTTTTTTCCCAACCATATTATTCATGGCAGTAGCATCAAATTCAGCATCATCTCCACCATCCATTCCACTATATTTGACACCTTCGTCACCAGATGATGTCCTATTTGCGTTATTTGACTGCATTTTCTGTTTCCACTCAGCGTGTTTACGTTGCACAATCTAATGAATTTTGAATTTCATTACGACACCAAGTAGACACACAACATCAAGCACTTCAAGCACTCAAAGCAAAATACATATTTGCACTTTTTTTCAGTTTTTTTCATAGATACAATATATCTATGTACATACATATATACGTACATTCATACATACTTATACCTACATACATACTTCATATAGAAACCCACATAATTTCAACTTACGTTGCTCACAAAGTTTTCCACCAACTTGTTGCATTCCACACCGATTTCATAGTTTTTGTTATCCAGCCAACGGAAGACGGTATCATTCTGATACCATGGTTTCACGACTTTAATTGCAGATATATCCATAAGCCTTAGGTCAATAGTAAATATCATTAGGAAGCTATTACATATTCTCTTGTGTGTGTGTGTGTGTGTGTATTACTTACTTTTTGTATGATAAGGCAATGTCTTCGGTATCCTGTGTTGTAAAATTAGTTGCAGTTCCCATTGTCGTTTCTAAGTAATAAATTTGAATGTATATTAAAGGTAAAAGCTTCAAGATACAAAGACATTACGTTTTCTATGACATTTTCTTTTATGAGGTATTTTACATATTAATTTAATTTTAAGTAGGAAAAAAATAATTTTTTTACTTCGTAGTATACTGGTATATTAGAATACTCTTGGGTGATAGAATTTTTCTATAGAAGTTGTAAATTCCTGAGTATATGCAGTAAGAATATACAGGTGTATATATTAATAGCTATTTCCTTTGTCAGCAGAGATAAGCAAGTGTATGAATAGTTCTAATCAATGAGTAATAAAATTACTCGCAAAATTAAGCAATGCTGTAGTTGATCGATGAAAGGATTCTGAACATATAATCTGATTAGGTATTAAAACCAAGCTTAGTAAAAGGCACTAATAAACCAACAAACTGGAGACTTTGGTAATGTCTATTAATTTTGCAATTTTAAATTAATTTCCGTGAGGGTTAAGCACGTGCACCTATTCCATGTTTAACGACCACAGAATAGGTACAAACTTAATAGCGCACAATACCCGACTGTATTTCCGATTGTATTCCACCTAAGGCCCAAAAATACAGCATGAAAAAAAATAAAAAGAATTAAAAATTATTTCGATAAGAAAATATTGGAAATAATTAAGAAATAAGGCCATGAAAAAAAGAAGCAATATATTTAAATAAATTTTTCTTGGTCATATAAACAAATTAAGCATTTATTCATATTAATTTTAGAACTCCCACAACAAAAATTCCATAAATTGATAAAGGTCGGATTTGCTGGGTGAAATAATTACATCTAATAGACACAGTGAATCTTACGTATCTCTAATAAACTATATATTTGTGATCGATTACTATTATGAATAATATGAATAATATTATAAATAATATTTATTGGATGATTAGGATCTTAAACTCTGTAAATTAGGTTCTATACTACTTTTTATTGACACAACAGGGCTTAGAAACCTACTATAAACCTAGAAGGGGGCCCAACAGACCCGACAATCGCAGTGCTACATCACTTAACAATAATAATAGGATTTTAGGCTAACTATAAATGAAACTAGGAAGATGTCATTGTAACAAATTATTTATCACATTATTTTATATCAATTTTTACAGAGACATAACAAAAATATATTTATGTTATATATACCTTTTTCATATTATTCTAAAATTAAATAAATTTTTTAAGAACTTTTACAGAGTTCATATTCCCGTAAAATGAAATAATATAATACAATTCTATATTTATTATCAAATAAAATGTAAATAAAAATACGATATATTGCATTAAATGACTTACGGCATGAAATCTCCAATACTGCTCTACTTAACAAATCCTCCATATCCTTAAATCCGACTGCATCACCTAGTAATTCTTGAGTGAATTTCTTTATCATCTGATTTCCAACTGTGTTATAAATGTCAACAAAACTTGCCAGTACTGTGTGACTGAATGCGGGATTAAGCTGCTTCCGACGCACTTTCCATTCCTGACCTTTAAAGGAATGTGTATTAAAAAAATATCATTAATGAAGATTTTAAACTATTTAAACTTTCAAAAAAAATTTTCAGAGTAAAAATGTACTCAAGGACGATATTGTCCAGTTCGTGTTAATATAGGTAAGGCATCTGTTTTTATTGAACATTATATATTATTCAATATATGTAGAGAACAATATCATATATACAATATATGATAATATCATGATTCCACGCTGATTCATACCTTCTCATTTGAAGCAAACGTTTCACCGTCCACAAAATTTTGTGAAGACAGAAATTAATAGTAATCAAAAGGCGCCAAATTTAAAAAATATGACAGCTGAGCAATATATATTGTTCACACTGTAAAAACATTTTAATTTTTAAATTAAAATGTTTAATTAACTATGAAAAAGAAGAGCCGTTGGTTTAAAATATACATTTACTTAAAAATTGCAAAGGTTCTTGAGGTTCAACATTGTAATAAGTTTAGTTATAAGTAATATAGTACTATATATCTTGTTAAAGTACTATTACTATTAAAGTACTATTAGATATTTTTTAATTACATAAGTACATCTACATTAGATTTATTCCCACAACAAAAACCATATGCTCATAATGTTCTTACAATTATTTCATTTTTATATCAATTTCAGTTTATGCTTTATTTACTGATCTAGGGTCTAGATCAATATATATAAAATAATAAAAATAATATATAAAGTACATCATTTTCAACTGAATGGTTTCTTCGTGTTTGTCTTTATTACCCAAATAAAATATATTTACTATGTAAGAAATAAAACGTTTTCAACCGAAAATATTAATGAACGATATTTGCTCTAACGCACAATCATAACAAACTTAGTATTTTATATATACACATAACTGAATATTTAAAATACAGTAAGAGTTTTGGAATAGCACTATTTAGGAGCATAAGCATTATTTCTCACTAAGACTGTAGACATGGTTTATAACAAAATTATGATGTAGACATCTTTTTATATCTTATTCGGTTAATTGATTAACGGTATATGTCACTCCAGGAATAGTTCGCTTCTTTTAGTTTTTCTTCAATTGTTCTTCTCCAAGTTTTAACCGGCGCTCCAAAGGTCGACGACTAAGCATTTCATCTCAGAGCTTGACGTGCAATGGTACTAGCAAATTCAATAGATAAGTTCATCATCATCATTCATTACAATTTTGCTTATTGGCGCAAAGGGACCTTAAAAGTGTCTTCCATAGCTTGTGAAAATGTGAATGCCTCGCACCGTACCTTAGTCTGAGAGCAATTGTTCAGGAACTTAATATAACTACATTGCTTCCTAAAATAGTTATTATGATTTGTATATTATGATTTGTATATTTTGATACAAGATCGTAGCATGCATATATATTTCCATGCGATATAATATGAGTTCATGCAATGAAATTATGTTAGACATTTGAATAGATGAATAAAGTAGTTATTACTACTGCTATTTTTAATGATATATTAAGAGATATATAAATAAACTTTACCGCTTTCATATGAACAATGTTAATTCTATTTCTTTTCTTTTTCTTAGAAAACTAAATTCGAAGACTTAAGTATATAGTAAATAATCGAATAATTTAATAACTTGTTTTTGTTTTCCTATTGCAATAGATCCAACAAAGTATAAATCCATAAGATATGTTTTATATTGTCGTGTAAAATCTATACTACGTGACATGGCATATATGTATGTAAATTTTCATTAAATAAACAATTCTACATTCTATTTTTTATAAAATATTTATCCATTTATAATTTTTTTAATATTGTTATACAGTATAATTAGTAATATAGTTTCAATATGTAATTATTTTTCCTTCCATTCTTTGATAGTTAGTATTTCTAGTATTTTCGAAAGCTATATATTTATTAAAAAAAAATTTTAAATTATATTGAAAATATTCTAATTTTGTAATAATATTTATAACCGGCTTCAATACAACACGCATCAGTTTAATCGACTATTCAATTTATACTATTAATGTTTGGACGTGATAAAATTTCTTAAATTTATATTTTTAAGTTTTTATAAAAGTAAAACTAATTAACTTTGACGAAGGCCCTTACATTTTACATAACTAAATTCAGCTGTACTCGTATTCTTTTCAAGCTACACACAAATATATTCGGAAAAGCGTCTGAGTAAATTATGTTCGCAGAGGTATTTCGTACTCTCTTTATATAAGTTAACACCCACGTACCCCAAATCCGACCCTGTGCTTAGTTTCATTAACGGAGCAATCATGCGATATTGTTCGAACGCATGGTTGCTACCAAACGGGATATTCACTTGTTTGTCTGGAAAATTCTCGTTTGGTTTCGGTAGCTCCCTACTTCGCAGAATATTAGAATATTTAACTTTTATAAGGCAGGTTCATATAAAATACATATTTTGTTTTTATTTCCGTGATCTTTTTAACCTAAAATATATGTAGTTGTAGATCTCTACATCATCAGATTTACGTCATATATTATAAATTTTAAAGACCGCTTCTAACATAGAATAGTTTGTCTGCTACTGCATTACCTTGGATTCCAGCATACCTCGGAATCTATATACCTATGTTGTTAATATACCACAAAAGCAAATGTGCGATAAATATGAACTACTTATTGAAGGCAACATATATTATTTTAGTTTACCGCTTGACTTGCACTGTTTGAAAATGATGAAATAAAGATACATATATAATTATCAAAAATTAATTCTGATTGTATAAAGCTTTTAAAAATGATTTTACATAACATTGGTTATTAAGATAAATCGAAGAGTGCACCTAACGCACATAGTCTGATGAGGAGAATATTGACCAGATATATATCAATATATACTGTACATATGCGGAACGGACTTTGGAAATAAGAGTAACTTGAAATTTAAATAAAATCATTAAAATTATACATTCTAAAAATGTAACTACTAGGTTGTTTATCATTTTGAAAAATGATCTGATATAATAAATAATCTGATTTATTAACAGTCAGACTTGAACTGTGGTAAGTAAAATAAAATAAACATAAATATATCGTTGTCTATTTGTCAAGTTTGTCAGTACTTATTTCCGTAAAAAAAAAAACTGTAATTTGATTTCTTAGAATAAAATATCTTAAACATAATATTTTACACAAGATATTAGTTGGCTAGGCCCTTGACGCAACATATTCGTAGGCTTGAACTAAACCAGCAGATTATTAATAACATCCAGAAAACTTTGTAAAAGGTTCCTGTGATATTACCCCCATAGTTTTGGCTATTAACTAATAGAATATAATAATACGCGTTTCACATAATATTTACACCATCAGAATTTTTTAAATCAATACTAAGAAGGAAAGAAGATATGAATATCATCTTGAATTTTTTTATAGAATTTTTTTTTATACTCTTATTTTCTTCTATTCTTATTTCTCTCCGTAGGAAATATAAATAAAATAATAACTAATTAAATACAAACTCATACCTTTCGCATGTAACAATCCATTATGAGAGAAAAATCCATTTTGCATAAAAGTTTTATCCAAACATTCCTGTGATGTCATAACAGCCTCCATAGTAGCAGGATCGTCAACATAGAGAAAAACTCTCGTACCGATTAAAACAGCTAATGGACATTTATAATTTAAACGTGTGTACTGCAATGTTTCCAAAATCCCTGAAACGCAGAACTCATTTAATCACAAATTGTTTACAATTTTCCTTTTAATGTTTAGGACGTGATTACAATGAAACTGTTTATTTGAAACGTACTTTTTGGATCCATATTGAACAATAAGTATATCCAATGTAGTGGTTGTGTCACTACACCTCTCCAACCATTTAATTGCCATATTAATTGCCAACATTTGCGCTGCTTCCAGACGATCAGGGACAGTAGCGAAGTAATCGAAAATAACAACAAGCCCCGAAATAAGAAGGCATCGCTCTCTTTATTCGATGAGTCTTCTACGCTTTCAAATAACATTTCTATTTTTGGAAAAAAGCCACTTAAAATATTTGTTTTAATAATTTTAATTTAGATACTTTGTAAGCAAATCACTTCCACTCATAGGTAATTAAAGTGTGGGTCACGCTTTACTATTTAATAATTTTATATCAAATAATTTTTTTACTAATATTTTAACAAACACTTTTTTCAGTTTTATCCGCGATTGAGTTCTTTTCACTTCGACAATAAAAGCGCAACTGAAAATATTTTTGAACTCAAATATCTTTTATATTATGTAAAAATATTAATAATTTTTATGAAATTAATTAATATTAAGTATTTATTAAGTTGAATAAATTTTTATGGTGTCTTAAATTTTTTACAAATCCAAAACCAAATCTAATTAGAGTAATTGAAAAATATTTAAATATTAATATATTAAGAAAAAAAATCTTGTGTATTACAAAAACTAATATTAAAATTTTTACTTTATTTATAAGACTTTAAAACAATGCTAAATAAAAGATCAAATGCAAATTTTGTAAGAATGTACTTAATAAGTTGGACATAAACCAATAAACCGAACTACATATTCAGACTAATCAAGATTGCATAGCGCCCAAATCGATTAATATACTTTCACGTATACTCAAAAATATAGCTTAGATATCATTATTTCTAACAAAAGATGGGAAGACTCAACGATATGTAGACAGCTGTATGCAATCTGGCCACTTTTCGATAAAAGGAAATCGAAAACTCTAATTGAGATGTCCCGCAAAGACATTGGTCTTCTGGTAGGGTTGACTACAGGACACTGTAAACTAGGGAACCATGCTAGAAGACTAGCTCTTCCTTTCAATCAAATCTGTCGTAGCTGTGGGGAGGACGATGAGAGCGCATCTCATCTTTTGTGTTTTTGCCCAGCTCATGCACGTCGGCGAATTAGTACTTTAGGAGCCCCCTTCCTTGAGGACCTGGACCAATTACAGGATCTGACTTTAAATATCATTTTATGCTTTGCAATAGGTTCTAGGTGGTTTTAAACCCTGAGGTTTTCATTATATATATACGGCATCACAATGGGCCAATAGGCCTAAGTGGATCCACTGGGGATCACCAGTATAACCTAACCTAACCTAATCTACCATTATTTCATGAAGATAATATCATCCAAACGTAATTTAATCATTTTGAAATGCACCTATATTCGCTTAATCATATTAAATAGAATACTGCTTTGCTTCTGAATACATTCTGAACCAGTAATGGACAACAGATATCTATCACAAATCTAAATTTTAGTATCAAAGTACAGCTTCTGAGGCATATAAAATATTTCTTTCTTTAAAAACTTTAGAACCACTTAACTTACACATGTAAAACATTGCTTCTCTGTGTTTATACAATCAAAAGACTATAAAATCTGCAAGAAAGAACTGCAATTTATCCATTTCTATATAAAATTTGATGAATATAATCATTTATTTGTTGTAATAAAATCCAAGCTTAAAAGCCTTGTTGGGTTTCGCTTGATAGGTTTTAATTGTCTAAAGACGCAGATATCAAATTTAAAAAGACATAGACCAATGGCTTTATATCATGTGAGTCACCACCATTTAAAAACAAGCTATTATTCGAGTGATATAAAAAGTATTCGACATATTTTTGTATACCACAAAATTTTCTGTATTAAAAATTAATTTTAATCAAATACTACACAATATTTATTGGAAATTAATATTTATACCTTCTGCCACTCTTCGGGTAGTTGCACAATTCCATCGGTATAGAACTTCTGTGGTTTACCGTCAGAAAACTTGAACAAATGATTTTCAGCGGCTCTGCAGTCGACTAATTTTTCACCATTTGGAGAGTTTTGCGGACACCGAAGCCAATAGTAGTCAGACGGTGTAAAGTGAAGGCTATACATTGGAGGTCTCAAAACTTCTCAACCAAGTTCAATTAATTTATTCCGAGTCATTAGAGATGTTTGTGGTCTGGCATTGTCATGATGAAACACAAGCTCTTTTCTGTTGGTCAATTCTAGTCGGTTTACCTTGACTATTTCGTTTAAGCTATCGAGTTTTTAGTAGTAGAGACACCAATTAACCGTTGCACTAAGCTGGAAGAACTAATAGTAGAGAATTTTTTTCCAATCTCATCAAACACTCATCAAAATATATTATTAAACAACCTCGAACACATTGTAGACTAAATGTAATACTTATAATGTCTGCATTTTTGATTTTGAAATTCTATTAGTATTCGAGAATCTTCAAGAACCTTGTTTTTCTTACTTTACTTTAATGCCACAATTACTTTAATAACTTTAAGTTTTTATCCTTTCTTGTTCTATTATAAATTCGTTACCATGGATGAATAATTGAAAAGATTTCTATTATCTGTGGAAATTAAGAGCGGATCCAATAACCAGTTCTTTCTGGTTATTGGTATATAGCAGTGACGACGCGTGCCCTATCTGGAAGGGTGTGCGGCCCTTCTATAATGTTGTTTTTACATGTACCACTTATATTAAAATATATGAGATGTTTTATTAATAATAACTATATTATGTTAGGCAACAATATATTCGTAATATTATATTAACAATTCATTAACAAAATAACATATTAAACAAATTAAATTAATAATTTATATATAAATTTAATATTATATCAAAAACAAAACTTTTCATATACTTGTAACATCAAACCAACTTTTTTCAAACAAAAGAGTTTTAACTCAGAACCATACATGTTTATCCAGTGATCAAACAAAATCAAACTCACTTGCAACGTACAAATGTGCGCACATGTACTCCGCACAGTAAGAACAGAAATTCGTGGGTGCTACTGTTAAAAGGGGAGAGACGAAATGTGATAGAAATGTATGCTGAGATGAGCTGCAAACTTCAGCCGCTCACGCAACTACTTTGGCAAATCATCATGTTGGATCATGCATGCAGTTGATATTCGAAGAGAACAGAAAATTACTCTCATACAATTCCCACTATATAAATCTCTATTTCTGATATTACGAACGGGAGCACACACACATTATTTTGTTCATATGCAACGTATGAATGTGTGGTCAACTTCTTTGCACACAAAGGGGAGAGACGAAATATAATAGAAATTTTCTGTGATTTGAGCTGCAAATATATGAGCACAACTAACAAGTATAGCGGCTAACAGAAGTAAATTGATTGAGTTTTCATAGACAATTATATTTAATTGTTTTTGCTAAAACTTTAAAAATATATATATATGGAAATGTAATAAATAATAATAATTCTTGATGTGAAGATACTTAATAAATTTATGTACCTATGTTATTTAACATTTTGCAAATTATGTTAGGGTGTTCACCGCACACCTCCGCACCTTAGAGCAGTCGTCACTGGTATATAGTAACCCAAGCAGAGCAACTACGCATTCCTCATAATCCTCACTGCATAAAACAGTTTCTCAGTGAATGTCCGGCTTTGAGATCCAGAAGAAATATATTGTTAGGAATATACGTCTTGACTTTATAGCTCTATTCCGAAGAAGTACGAATATGTGCATCTTCTTTCATCAGACCTTGAGACATACTAATAGCAAAAAAAAAGAAAAAGTTTGAATAAATATTTTTTGATACAACTAACTGCAAAGTGACTGTGGAGTAATATAGTGATTTTTTGCTCATTGTCCATTAGAGGGTTAAGCATACAGCCCAACTACTTTGCTTTAAGAACCACATATATTTACATTATTATATTGTAAAGTCCATTCACGTGTATACACATATGTTGTGTATTAAAATTGTTAAAAATGTACGGGTAATATGCATAGAGTACGTGAATAGATCTATAATATATAATTTTAATACATTTGTTTTATTCAGTTAGTTTACTGATAACTTTTATTCACGACTGCTTTATTATTTCTCAAAAACACATGTCGCCTTTTCGCGTGTGCTTAAAGGCGACGACACAATACAAAAATGACAAATAAATTAAAGGCCATGATACAATAAATCTTAATTCTAAACATATCGCCGCCTTTGATGGCTCCAGCAGACATCAACATTCAGATGGAATAGGTGCCAATTTATGGATTGCTCGGCGAACCTCTCCATTCTTTGTTTTTACATCAGCAACTCGAACCCAACCTTTAGCATCTCTTGTCACTTTCAGCACTCTCCCAATAAGCCATTGCTTAGAAGGCAAATTTTCTTCTGCAACTAACACCATATCACCTTCATTAAGGTTCTTCTGCTTCTTAGTCCATTTGACTTTCTGTTGAAGTTCATGAAGATACTCCGCCGACCACCTTCTCCAAAAATGTTGTTGTATGGCCGAAATTCGTAGCCATCTATCTTTATGAGACCATTCTTCGCTATCCACAGTAGGTTCCACAGTTCCAACCAACGGACCACCTGTTAAGAAATGTGCCGGTGTAAGAACGCTTTCATCATTTGGGTCGTTAGACAAGGTTGTCAAAGGTCTTGAATTTAAAACTGCCTCTACTTCCGTAACCACTGTTGCCAGCTCTTCAAATGTAAGATGCGATTGACCCAATATTCTAGCCAAATGATATTTTGCTGATTTTACAGCCGCTTCCCATAGTCCACCAAAGTGGGGGGATCTGGGTGGTATATGATGAAATTCAATACTATTGGCAGTACAATATTTTGAAATCTTGCCCTGTACTTGTTGATCAAAAAACTTGCATTTCATTTCCTCGAGCTCTTTACGAGTACCCACAAAATTAGTGGCATTGTCGCAAAATAATTTTAAGCATAAGCCGCGTCGAGCTACAAATCTTTTTAATGAAGCCAGGAAAGCCTTTGCAGTCAAATCAGAGACCACCTCCATATGCACAGCTTTTGTGGCAAAACAAATAAAAACAGCAATATAGCTTTTTGTTGTTCTGTACCCACGAAGTAGATACGTTGTTGTAATAGGGCCGCAAAAGTCCACTCCAGTCACAGTGAACGGCCTCGCTACGGTGACTCTAGAAGAGGGTAAATCGCCCATAATCTGATTACTCAATTTTGGATGGCATCTAAAGCATTGTAGACAACTACCAGTAATTTTGCGTATTACTCCTCTAGCATGAAATATCCAAAATCGCTGCCTAACTATAGCCATAAGCGCTTGCGTACCAGCATGCAAATATTTGAAATGAAGAAATCGTACAAAACTGCAAACTATTTCTGAGTTATTCGGTAACAAAATTTGATGTTTAGCATCATATGGTAATGCAGCCTTCGCTAATCTCCCACCAACACGTAGTAGCGGAACACCATAAGTATCTTCTACAAAAATGCTCAGATTTTTATATTTACTGTTTGCTGGCAATTCTCTATTCTTCAATAGCAGCTCAATTTCTTCTTTGAAATAATGTTGTTGCACACAGTAGAATATACGCACTAGTGCTTCATCTAATCTTTCAGTCATAGACTTAACGCTTCTTCGAAAGCCAAGAAGATTGGCAAAAATTCTTTGTAATTTTTCAAAATCGCTGAAGGTTTCAACCCACGTCACAAAAGAAGATTTCGAGTTATCCTCAGAGCATGCCTCATAAGGTATTTTTTTTTTAAATTATTAACAGTCATTATCGTACTATTACGACTCCTTTCTTGGTCAGCATTAGTATTCTTTCTAGACTTATTTGGTGGCCACTCACAACAATCTCTCTTCAAGAAAGAAGGACCTGCAAACCAAATAGAATTAGATAGTTCATCTACATACGCACCTCTTGATATTATATCCGCTGGGTTAGACTTTGAAGGAACATGCCGCCAAATAAACGTTTTTGTCTGCTCTTGAATCAATGATACCCGGTTGGCAACAAATGTATTCCAATTTGATGGGTGCTCGCTCAGCCAATCTAGCACAATTTCGGAATCCACCCATAAATAGGTCGCGTCAATAGAAATTGGAAAATTGGATTTGGTTTTTGTCACTAGTTTCGACAGCAATTCCGCAGCCAAAAGTTCCAATTTTGGTAAAGATAAAGTTTTTAATGGCGCTACTCTGGATTTAGCACTCCACAACTGCATTGTAACGTCGTTGTCCACACATATTGAGCGAATATAAATACAACACCCGAAAGCTCTTTTTGATGCATCAGCAAATCCATGCATTTCAACTCTAGCAACTCGTTTTTCTGCCAAAACAAATCGAGGCACACTTATTTTCTTGACGTCTTTTAGATTTTCGCGGAATTCTATCCATTGACTATGTAAATTCATTGGTAGGGATTCATCCCAATTAGCCTTCAATATCCACAAATCTTGCATGAAAATCTTCGCCTTTACGATTAATGGGTTAATAAGCCCAAGGGGATCAAACAACTTAGATAGTTCCGACAACACTATTCTTTTTGTCACCGCTTTCGAACTATCAAAATCTGGCCAAACGTATCGAAACGTATCTCCCACTGGAGCCCAGATGATACCAAGAGTTTTTATTATTTCCTCATCATTCATCCGAAGAGTCTTTTCTTTATCAGCTTCAGGCACGAAATTAAGAAATTTTTCACTATTTGAAAACCACTTCCTTAACTTAAATTTTGCTGAGTTCATTATTGCTGATACTTGATTATATATTTCAAAAATTTCATCTTCATCATTTGATCCACTGATCAAATCATCCATATAAAAATCAGATAACACCTTTCTCGATCCAATCGGATATTTATCGATATAATCTTCACTTAACTGTTTTAAGCATCTTGTAGCTAAATAGGGGGCAGATGTTGTACCATAAGTAATGGTTCGCAAGCGATAGGCCTTTATGTTTTCATCTGAGGAAGACCTCCACAAAATCGTTTGATAATTCGCATCATCATCAGTCACCCATGCTTGGCGATACATTTTTGTTACATCTGCCGTAATTGCATATTTGTAACATCTAAATCGCAGTATTATAGATAACAGGTCATCTTGAACCAGTGGTCCTTTCATCATTACCTCATTTAATGACAAGCCACTGTCAGTTTTACAGCTACAATCGAACACAACTCGAAGTTTCGTACTCGTAGAATCTGGTCGTAGCACATACTGATGCGGTGCAAAATATTTTATCTTATCCATATCAGCTTCTTCAACGATCGTCATGTGACCTAAAGAGAGGTACTCATCCATAAATGCGTTGTAAGCGTCTCGTGTAGAGCGATCTCTACTCAACCTACGCTCTAGTGACAGCAACCGTCGTTTGGCAGCATTATAGGAACCACCCAAATCACTTACTGTTGTTTTAAATGGAATTTTCGTAATAAATCGGCCAGATGTATCTCTACGAATTGATTCACGGAAAATTTTCTCGCATTCCTCTTCTTCTTCGGTTAAAAAATTTGATTTAGTTGAAATCTGTTCTATTTTCCAGAATTTTTCAACCAATTGACTCAAGTTTTCATTCTCATTATGGTTGTGATTGACCAGCATATTATTTATTTTATGACTAGGCGCTAAACATTCTTCTGCTTTGCCTGCAACTATCCACCCTAGTATGGATTTCTGTAGGGTTGGCAACCTTTCATTAAGATAAATTCGTCCAATCGACAACAAATCGAAGAAAATTTCCGCACCAATTAAAATATCTATACGCGCTGGCTTATTGAACATTGGATCAGCCATTTGAATATTTTTTGGTAAATTCCAGTCCGCAACATCGACATAACGATTAGGTTTGGAGCTTGTTATTTTCGGTAAAACATAAAATTGCAGACTGACTTCGAATTCATTTATTTTTGATTTGATGGTAGCCACAGTTTTTGTTTTAAAGCTAGTTACAACGTCTCCAACACAGCTAGCATCTAATTTACAAGACGTTTTTTTTAATAACAGTTTTTGAGCAACTTTCTCACACATCAAATTTACTTGAGAGCCAGAATCTAATATGGCTCGCATTTGGTGATATTTGCCAAACTTGTCCGCTACCATTACTACTGCTGTTGCCAAAAAAACCTCGTTTTCAGTCATTACGTTCATAACTGATGACTGAGCTGTCTCCTGTGTTGACGTAGATGGCCCATTTTTGCATCTTTGTTCATTTGGCTCCAAGATATAATCTTTATGTAAAAGTTGATGATGAGATAAATTACATTTCGAGCATTTAACAGCAGAGCATTCTTTTTGAAGGTGTCCCCTTTTTAAACATGTAAAACATACCTTTATTCTCCGTGCTACGAAAAAGCGTTCTTTTAAAGAAAGCTTTATAAACTTGCTACAATCTGCAATCTCGTGGCCACTGCCATTGCAGACTTCACATAAAGGTTTTGTAACTGCAAGAGAGGTTGAGTAGTTGCGGTTATTTCTATACTCTTTTTGATAGTTTACAGCCTTTGAATTCACTTGATTAACTTTATGTTCCCTTGCCTCAAGGTTCTCACATCGCCTCGTCAAAACTGCTGAACATTCATTCCAAGTTGACAGCTTCCTGTAATCCACTGATTCTTCCCATTTGACCTGCGAATCTTCGTCCACTCTTTCCATCACCAAATGAATTAACATGGCATTCGCTATATCTTTGTAATCACCTAATGATAGCATTGCATTCAAATGTGCATTCGCTGCATTTAATACATTTCTTAAATGAACTGCAGATGGTTTTGTTAATTTTGGGACAGCAAAGAGGGCTGTAATATGTTCCTCGAACATCAACGCCTTTTTATCGAAGCATTCCTTCAATCGATCGAGTGCTTTGGGGTAATTGTCCTCTGTGACATCAAAATCGTCAATAGCTGCCAGCGGCTTAGAGCCCAAGTGCTCTTTAAGTATCAAAAATCGTTCACAGTCATCAAGCATTTCATCCTGGTTGATTAATTTATTAAACAAGGCTATAAATTTCGGAAATTCGCTATACTTCCCTTCAAATTTCGGTAATTTTACTTCCCGATGACTTCTTGGGCCCGGCAATAACGATGTTGTATTCGTTGCATTGACATCTACCAGTGATAGCTTTCTTTTTTTTAGTAAACTCATTATTTTTGCTTTCGTGGCCACAAATGCATCTTCAACTTCTGCTGTAATTGCTTCGCTTGAAGAAGTATCTGCACCTTGGTTTAGTTTATCGATATCTGCTTGCACACTCAGAAACTGTTTGAAGTAATTTTCTGTCAAACTAAGCCTGCAGTTAAGTTCTTCTGTTGACAAACTTGACCCTTTTTTCAAAATCATTGATTTTATGCGAGTGATGTTGCCTTTGGTGCTGCCTCTCAACGCCTTCAATTCCGCCATTTTCTTAGACCCTTTCTGCACGCCTCCTTGCTCCCCGTCGCTGAGTTCGTGAATTTCTGAGTCTAACATTTTGCAATTATATTTTTTTTTTTTCTGGATCACTATCCCTTTTCTGGATCACTATCCCTTTTATGGATCACTATCCCTTTTATGGATCACTATCCCGTTTATGGATCACTATCCCGGGTTTCGGCACCAATGTTTTATTCAGTTAGTTTACTGATAACTTTTATTCACGACTGCTTTATTATTTCTCAAAAACACATGTCGCCTTTTCGCGTGTGCTTAAAGGCGACGACACAATACAAAAATGACAAATAAATTAAAGGCCATGATACAATAAATCTTAATTCTAAACAACATTATTCATATCTTCTTGCCATAACTCTTTATATTGACACATTAGTGTTAAAAAATGTTTAATATTTTAATTATATTTTTATGTGTAATTTTCAGAAATCAATTAATTGAACTTTTATGTGCAAATAAGCAATTCTTTTCTACCTAAGGAAGTCAACTGTTCAAAATAACTAATATCATTATCTATCTATGTCTATAAAAATAAGTTGTTTCAGAATTAAACATAAATATTTCACCGAATGATCCTCTGATTCTTGAAATTAACAAATTAATAAGAGGGAGAAGATTGAATTTCAATATCAATCGAAATACAAGTTATTTAATACTGTATTCACACGGAGTTTTGTTTGTAATTTTAGATATCATGTTTGTAATTTTAGCTGTCAATTGTTGTTGCCTTCAATGCAAAATGAAAGTTTTTGACAGCTAAAATTACAAACAAAACTCTAGTGTGAATCCAGTATAAGAAAAGTCTAATTAAAAAAAATGTAGAAACAAATAATAATTAGTATATATCTTAAAAATGACTTTTTCAATTAGTTTAAGATATTTATCAATTTTTAATTTATATAATATTATTATAGGTGTAAATGGTAATACAATTACTACACTTTCTCAGAATTTTTTTTTACATTTCACTATCAGACCTTCTTGTGAACATCTCTCAACACTTTTTAAGCATTTTGTATTTTTTTTTTGATTATTAGTTGAATTTTTCACACTTAGGCCCATGTTGTGTAGAGTGTCACAGACTCGTCTAAATTGGCTCTGTCGGGCTATAATGAAAATGCATATTATGCAGAGTATCACATCAGTTTGTCAATTTTGTATTTTTACTATTACTTTAGTCCTATTTTGTTGTGCCTAAATGTTTAAGGAAATATATATGTTGTATTCATGTAATACAACACTGTTTTGACTAAGTGACAAGGAATAGATAGCCTCGGCTCTCATGGCCGAATTTAAACCGACATTTCTTTTTTCTCTCATTCTCAATTTATGAAATTGCATGAAAGCAACGAAATTTTGATTATGACGTGCCCGGGCCCATGACACTCTACATAACATGGGCGTCTTAATTGACAGTTAAGAAGATTGTCTCTTTTAATAGTTATTTTCGAAGAACTCATTGTAGAGTAAAATATTTAAGGCAAAATAAACTATATTATTATAACTTATTATAAAATAAATTATATTATTGAACTTAGGTAAAACAAAATAAAGTTTTTGAGGATATGTTACATGCTTGGTACGCCCATGTAACATAAAACTCATACCTTGTTATATGGAATATCGTTCCCAACCTTTTCGATGCACTCATGTGTGTATTGTATGCCCACAACAGGGCTTGAAAGAAACTGTTGAAACTTTCTTATATAGCACTACATAAAATCTTGCATTTTAATAACAAATAAATTTTTTTAATTAAATCAAATTCATTGCAAATATTTGTGTGAAAAAATATCTTATATTAGATTTAAATTAATATAAAAAATCCATTACATTATCTTCCGAATATGTGCCCAACAATTTATACAGAATATTTTTATCTTTAAAAATAATTAAAAATATAATCAATTTTTGTGAATCTCAATGCAGACTAATAAATACAAGTAATAATGATAATTTCATAATGATGAATAGGTAAAGATAAATAGCTTGTGTTATTGACATCAATTTCAATTAATTTAATTAAATCTCTAACCGCCTTTAACATTTCAAATGATTAAAAATAATAACAAATCTTCCATTAGATTTGATTGCATTAATTATTCAACGTTTTTTTCTTATTTGAAAGTTAATTTTGTGATTGTCCTTAAATTTCAATGAAATGCCCTCAATAAAACGTAAATCTTCAAGTTTTGTTCCCGAGCATTGGAATTCGAAATAAGAAAATAATTTCACAAGAAAAATCTTTGTCAGTAACAAACTGTAACGTCAACCTGAACCACAATTAAACAAAAAAATGAAAAAAAATTAAATTAATTAAGATATTGTTTTTTTTTCTTGTTAGTCTGAGACTTTATCTACTTACCAAGCCAAGTACGTATACCCTTGGAAAAAGGTATGAAAAAGGCCGTTTAGACTTTGAATCGGCAAAATGTTCAGGATCAAATTTTTTTTACATTCGGTCCCCAAAGGGCTTCATCACGTTGCATATTGAAAACATCTAATACAAACCATGTATTCTTCGGCACATAACATACGCTGTTATTGCACCCCTATTGTGTTTAGCAGGTTTATGCAATGTAAAATCGGAGGCCACATTTCGCATATTCATGGGAACTGTTGTCAAGAGCCGCAATGCTTCATTCACAACCATGTCGAGATATTTCAATTGCTGCATTTGGGTTATTGTGATGTCTGCAATATTTCCGTCAGGATAAGTTTCATTGATTTCTTCACGTAATTTTTTCTGATAATACAAATGGATTGCCAAACACATTAACAGAGTCATTAATCCAGTTGTAACCGTCTCAAATGACTGTGAACGAAATATTCAAATAATTAATGAATCATTATTATAAGTTATTTAATCATTTTTTTTAAACTGCTGATCCATATATTTGGGAAAAGGATTCGCTAAAACTAGCGTCATTTGGCGAAGACAGAAATAGCTTTTAACAATATATTACACCATAACACAAGAAATTTAAATGAAATATCTCTCCAAACAAAAATCCATGTTTACAATATCTGTGTAAAAACCGTTCTATTATATGGATTAGAGAGTTGGTTGGTCAACAGTTAAATACAAAAAAAAGCTCTAAAGTTTTACCAACAGATACTAGCGTAATATTTTGAGAATTTTGTGGCCATGTAATATTTCAAATATGGAAGTACTTCATTAAACAAATCAAGAAGATATCAACAAACAAGTCAAATGTCGGAAATGTAATTGGCCCTCAAGGCAAGAGACACAGAGGAAGACTATGTAACACCTGGAGAAGTACGATTACAAATCAGACCGGCAAATGAATTACGTTATATTGCTAGAAATAGAAATAGTTGGAGATTGTATGTTACAAATCAATGCTTCTGATAAAGTACAGCGTTGATTACGTTGATTACCTGAACGGAAATGATGCTCCTGGAAAAAAATTTTACTCGAAGAATGAAATTAAAGCTAAAATGGTCTTCAACATAAGCATAGCAAATTTAGTGAACTCTTCAGTAAAAAAAATCACTTATCAGGTTGCCCATAGTATTTAATCAAGTCATATATTTAAGATCTTTATAATAATTTTAAATCAAGTTTTCTTGATTCAACTAACACAATAATTACAACAACTTTTTTAGAAGGTATCAGTTAATTGGAATATCCTTACATATATAAATCGCAAAAGTTGCAAAATTTGTCTTTCACTTAACACTAACACCATTGAAATGGATTCCTTCATTATATCCCGGAGCGTTAATTCGCCAAGTTGTTCTAAGTGAAATATTTGCTCAATGAAAATGCGTTTTTTCCCAACCATATTATCCATGGCAGTAGCATCAAATTCAGCATCATCTCCACCATCCATTCCACTATATTTAACATCTTCGTCACCAGATGATGTCCTATTTGCGTTATTTGACTGCATTTTCTGTTTCCACTCAGCGTGTTTACGTTGCACAATCTAATGAATTTTGAATTTCATTACGACACCGAGTAGACACACAACATCAAGTACTTCAAGCACTCAAAGCAAAATACATATTTGCACTTTTTTTCAGTTTTTATCATAGATACAATATATCTATGTACATACATATATACGTACATTCATACATACTTATACATACATACATACTTCATATAGAAACCCACATAATTTGAACTTACGTTGCTCACAAAGTTTTCGACCAACTTGTTGCATTCCACACCGATTTCATAGTTTTTGTTATCCAGCCAACGGAAGACGGTATCATTCTGATACCATGGTTTTACGACTTTAATTGCAGATATATCCATAAGCCTTAGGTCAATAGTAAATATCATTAAAAAGCTATTACATTGTATTCTAAACTGCTATATATGTTACTTTCTTTTTATATGTTAAAGCAATGTCTGTAGTATGTTTTAATATTGTCGTTCCCATTGCCGTTTCTAAGTAATAATTATAAATATATATCAAGGATATTACTTATAATACCCTTATATTATATATTTATAAATATTAATAAGGTATTTTATATATAGTTAATTACTGTAAGCAAGAAAAAGTAACTTTTTCCAACTTTTTATAGAGCATCAGAATAAAATATATGACTATAGGTCAACAATTTGCATATTCCTAAGAATGAATTATTGTAACGTCTTTAAATTTGCGATCAGTCATAAAGGAAGTTATTAATGATCTTCAATTTATCAAAGTGCAACACATCGAAATGGAAATATATAAATAGTACTTATCAACGAGGCATTTAAATATATTTTAAATAAAACAATGCCAATAAAGCTATAGTAAATCGACGAAAAAATACTGGTTCAGATATTGAAACTTAAATTGGTTAGAAGCACAAATAAATCCAAAACTGATTTATATAGTTCCGAAATTAATTAACTTTCTTAATCACATAGAATGTTTAAAAATAATTCTTATTGTCTGTAATATATAGGTAGAAGAATTAAATTATGTATATATTATCTAATTATATATAAGTGAAAATACACTATATTGCATTAAATGACTTACGGCATTAAATTTCCAATACTGCTCTACTTAACAAATCCTCCATATACTTAAATCCGATTGCATCACTTTGCAATTCTTGAATGATTCTTTTTATCATCTGATTACAAACCGTGTTAAAAATTTCAATAAAACTCGCCACTTTCCATTTCTGACCTTTAAAGGAATTTGTATTATGAAAAAGGTTTTAATGGCGATTTCAGACTATTTCCAGATACATTAATAGAAGTATCAAAAAGCTACCATATATATCAAAAAAAAATGTTTTAAAAATGTGAGAAAAACACTTTAAAATAATAACAATAAAAAGATATAAATAAAACAGCTAACCCCTTACATTTTAGAGAACCTAAATTCAGCTATATTATTTTTATGCCGATTCAAAATATTCATATATCACTTTCAGTAGTTTCTTTTGTTTAAGGAATTCATAAGGTTGTAAATATTATTTCTGAGTCCTCAAAAAAGCATTATAGTTCTGTAACTTTCGACCGTTCACAAGAGAAGTTCATAAATATTTACCAATTTATTTTACTCCCAAACATACACAAAATCTGACTGTGTGTAATAAATATCGAAGATATCATAACGAATACTATGCTATCTAAAGAAAAGTAGACCGCCATAGACCGAATCGTTACTATCAAACTCAATGGGAAAAAATATGATCTCAAAAATGACTAATTTCAAAAAAGGGTTAAACATCAGGTAAATCTAAGCGAAGCCTGAACACAAACTAACGAAAACACATTTTTTAATGAATAACCAACACAGGGACCCTACCCTAAAGTATTTCTGATAAAGTTAGATGGGTAGAAACTGTCTGGCACTCGAGGGGGAATGTTTTTAGTTCGACAAAACGGACATACCACTTTTGTGACAACATAATAACAATTCGTCAGGCATTTTTAAACCTCCTATCTGCATAAAAAAAAATTGTGTAAAATCAAAAAATTTAACGCTACATATTTTTTAGGCTTCCACTAAGCCAACGGATTAATAATACTCGTGCTATTCAAAGGAACGCTATACCTTTTTTCTATTATATTACTGCAACAGTTTTTAATATCCATTAAAAATATAATTGAATATATGGACCACCAGAGTTCTTTTTGAGTCCAAATTCAACAACAAATTTACCCAGTGTACTGGTTGTTTCACTATACCTCTCCAACAATTTAATTACCATATTAATTGCAAACATTTGCATTGCTTCCAGATGATAACGAATAACAGCAAAAATATCGAAATAGACAGAAAAATCCGAATGGCAGAGATCTCTTAATTGTATGACTCCTTAACGCTTCCAAATTGCATTTCTATCTTTGAAAAAGAGCCAAATATATTTAATATTTTCTTTTTATATCGTAGTTTAGGTGGAAATCACTTAGCATTCATTTCTAATTATGGGTAACTTAAATTACTCTTTTCTATTTAAAAATTTTTTATGAATTAAATTTTTTTTTATTTTTTAGAAACACTTCACAATGGTAACATTTAATTTAACTAATTTTTATTTAATTTACCCTACACGAAATTCTGGTAAATACCTACATTCGCTGCCGTACCGACATAATTTACTATTTCCCTCAATTAACCATCAATTTATTCAAACTCGCACACAGCCTTAAAATGTACGATTGAAAAACAGATCGAGAGTTGATCTAGATTTACCAATCGAAAATGCCATAAGTAAACCCAAGCTATAGATTTGATTATAAGTGTAAGTATTTATAACATTTTTAATAAAGATATCTTTTCATATACAAACATTTATAGATTATAATCAATATATGCCAATAATAGATAATATCAGCAGTTATTATTCAGTTAATCATATACTACTAATATTTTAACAATTCATACTACTTTTTGCATAAGAAAATAATGACACATGGCAACTCTTTTTGCAAAAAAAAAATGTGCGGCGGCGACTTTTGGCACAAAAAATAAACATTTTTGCATTGTCCTCTAACATCACGTTTTTAAAAGTTAATTAATATGTCTCTATTTATTATTAAATTTTAATTTTCTTAGAAGAAACTATTGTTTTTACAAGTTACCAATAAATTGTTGTAAAATATTGGCGATTTTGTTAAGTGTGTGGAAATAAATTAAAATTAATGAAAATACTAAAACCGAACTGGGTGCATCATGACGGTAAAGAGAAAATGCCGCCTATTTTTAGAATTTTTATTTTTCACAATGTAATTTAATTTATGCATTAATATTTAAGATAAACCAATATTTTCTGTGGATATTCATCAAGAATGCCAAAAATTTGCAACTGGCGGGCAAGGCATGGATTCCGGCCGTGTCGTGATATGGAATCTTTTGCCTGTACTCTCGGAAAAAATCGAACTGGATAATAGCGTACCCAAGATTTTGTGTCAAATGGATAATCATTTAGCATGTGTCAACTGTGTACGCTGGTCACAAAATGGACAATTGCTTGCGTCTGGTTCAGACGACAAACTTGTCATGATATGGCGCAGATCAATGGTGATAAAAAATTCTAAAAAATACACTATAATTTATATATATTTATAAATATTTACTATTAGGGCTCCAGCGGCGGTTTTGACAGTGGTGGCATGCATAAAAACGTTGAAACGTGGAAATGCGCTTTCACACTGCGTGGACATTCTGGCGATGTGCTTGATTTGGCATGGTCCCCGCATGACCGTTGGCTTGCTAGCTGTAGCGTAGACAACTCCATTATCATTTGGGATGTACACGCCTTACCAGCTATGGTAGCTAATCTTAAAGGTCATACCGGTCTTGTGAAAGGTGTTGCATGGGATCCGATAAGTAAATATATTGCTTCGCAGAGTGATGATCGCAGTGTTAAAATATGGAATACACATGACTGGACATGCAGTAAAACAATTAAAGAGCCTTTCGAAGAATGTGGCGGCACAACACATATACTACGTCTTTCATGGTCACCAGATGGTCAGTATCTGGTTTCTGCACATGCGATGAATGGTGGTGGCCCTACTGCACAAATAATAGAGCGAGAAGGTTGGAAATGTGATAAAGATTTCGTTGGACATCGCAAAGCAGTTACCTGCGTACGATTTAATAACTCGATACTAAAACGGGAAGCAACAAAATGCAATAAATCACAGCAATATTGCTGTTTAGCTGTAGGTTCACGCGACCGTTCATTATCGGTTTGGATGACAGCGCTACAGCGTCCTTTAATTGTTGTGCATGAATTATTTAACGACAGTATTTTAGATTTGTCTTGGGGTCCAGAAAAATGTGTACTGATGGCTTGCAGTGGTGATGGTACAATTGCTTGTTTACAATTTTCTGAAGTTGAGTTAGGGGAACCATTATCTGAAGAGAATAAGGTTTACCTGAGCAATATTTTGATTAAATAAAATGTTATAAATTTTATTTTATTTTAGAATTCTCTATATAAACGTATTTATGGTAAGGCAGTTCATTTTGAAAATGGTGGGAATTGCAATGTTGATATGTTAATTGAAAATCCTGACCTGTTTAACTCATCACGTGTAAAAATAAAAGCTCCAACACTGCCAACATTCACAGTACCGAATCAAAGTAGTATTTTTGACACAACAACTTCACTGCCAGCCGTTAATGGCTTCTCCAATACATCTGTCATACAACCGAATAGTTCATCAAGCCATACAACACCCATTAAAAAACAAACAGAAACAATTACTGCCGATGGTAAAAGACGTATAACGCCGATATTTATACCTGTTAATCATGATATGTGGTAAATAATTTATTTAAAAGACAAAACAATGCTTTTATTATTAATTTCAAAATATTTATTTAAGTAAAATTGATTCAACGCCACAACTACAGAGCTCATCACAGTCAATGACCATGGATGTTGACATGCTCAAGACTAGTAACAATTCACTTGAAAACGATTTCATTAATATTAATGAAAAAATAACAAATGCAACACCGCCACCCGTAGAGAATGATGAAGGGTACTGGAATTTAATAATCAAATAAATTTAAATGAATTTAAAAAATATAATACCATTACAGTAGTTTGGATCCACGACTGACAAAAAATTATAATATTTCAAGGATTTTACCTCTACAAACGTGTAAAAACGTGGTACAAACGTTCCCTAATGTTTCCAAAAAAACCGCAACTCCAGAAGGACCAACATTATTACCAGCTCCAATGAACCAAGCTTCCAGTGCTGCCCCAAAGCTACAAATTACAGCAAACTCAACTGTAGAATTTCAAAAGACTGTCCTGGATCATCGCGTACATGTGCGTAATGGTCATACACAAACAGCCACTGGATTTTTATGCAAAGTCACCGCCTACGCAGTTAAACTGGGAAAAGTATTATGGGAAATATTTGTGGGTACGTATAAAAAGGTTTGAAGTATATTTTTTTTTAAGTAGTAATAAAGTATCTGTAATATGAAAAATTTTTTAATATGTATATGATTCTAGGTTCGCCCGTTATGAATTTGAATTTTTGTTCCAAGTATGTAATGCTTTGTAGTTTGGATGGTACAATGCGGTTATTATCTATGCCCACAGGAATTTCAGTATTTCCTATAATAACTTTATCCACAGCAGCTACACAATGCGCTTTTGTAAGTAAAATTATATGTATACTCTTAATAAATTAATAACAAAATTTTTTACTATAATGCTAACAGTGTCCAAATGGCAAATTAGTTGGTGTTGTAACTGATACTGGCATATTACGCATCTGGGATATTGAAAATGAATCTGTAGTATTAGCAACAACATGCGCAGAAGTATGTAGCAAGTTTGGTAAAATAACACAATTTCATATTACCGAACATGGTATACCTATGCTGTTATTCGGGAATGGTAACTCATACTCATATTCACAAAAAATGCAATCGTGGCTTGTGTTGAACACAAAGGATCCTATTATGCGTCATGGATTTCAGACAACCATTCCTAGAGAATTTAACAAAAACTATATCTCTTACCCGCTTACATCGATACAAGCATCAACTAGCAGCTTCGCAGCGATGGGAAATGCGATTGATTTGTAAAGTTTATTTTTATTTTAATTATTGACACATATATTAATCAAATATTCTTATCTTTTCTTGCAGTAATGCACATATTTGGCAGCCTAGCGCCAAGGTTTGTTTTATTGAAAATCAAATTAAATTGTGTGAGGCAATAAATTCGCCAGAAGAACTGCGCCATTGGTATTTGATGCTTGCATATCATTTGCTCTTAAGTAACAATGAAAATCGTCTAAGGATATTGTTGAATGACTTGCTTGGACCATTTAGTCGTGCCTTTTGGGCAAAACATCCAACAACTGAGCATAAAATATTGGTAAGCAATTTTGCTTTTAAATATTTATAGCTTTTTATATATATGCATATTTTTTTTGTTATTTTAATTTATAATTTAATTATATAACCAATGGTTAGTAATATAATTTCCAAAACGTCGATAAATAAAATAAAATATAAAAAATAATTTTATATATTATTTTATTTGTTTTATACTTCTTAATAATTTTATTTTTTGTATACTTTTAATAATTTTCTTTTATTTATTTGTGCTTCTTTGTATTTTATTCTTGTTTTTTATTATTTTTTTTTATTATATTTTTTTAAATATTTTATTTATTTTTTTTTTTTTTGATATATTATTTTATTCTTTTTATTTGTAAATTATTTTTTAATTGTTTTAATTATTTTATTAAATTATTTATTTATTTATTTATTATTATTTTAATTTTTTGTTTTATTTTTTACATATTATAAATATTAGAATTTTGTTAAGACATTGAGTTTATTTACTATGCTCATAATAATAACTAATAAATATATATATTATTATATACATTATATTAATATTATGTAATAATTCAGTAATAAGCACTCACTTCTTGGCGTGACTGCGTAGATATGTAAATCTATTACATCAATTTCAATTAAAAATTTTATTAATGCGCTATAACAGCACTTTTTTTATTTAATATCAAAAAACTTTAATGTTGTCTAAATTTTAATGTCATTAAAAACCAATAATCTCTCACTATACAGTTGCTCTCAACCAATACCTCCTTTTTTATTCTAAACTGTTTGATAAATGATCTGTTATATTAACAAGGAGACAATTTCCATTGTTATTTAATTCTAGTCTCTAATTTAGTTTTATAGACAAGACATTTGTTCTCTCAAAACAAATATTAAAATTAATTTTATTTTCGTTTTATTTGATTTATTTATTTAATTAATTTGATAATGATTTTTTGAATTTGAAAGTAATTGAATATTTTGTGTAATAAAAGTGAATAAATAATAATTATAAAGCACAAAATTTTAAAGCTCTTATTTGAAATAATAAAAGACTAATATAAAAAATATTTCTATAAAAATTTACCTTTTTCAGAATGTTCCAAAGCATTCACTTCTTGAAAGCATATTAAATTTAATGAAGCATGACCCCAAATGCCAACGTCTATATCTCGAGTACCAAGAATTGTATCAAACTTTAAAGCATAATGTAATGAGGAAATCGAGTGAAAACAATTTTGCAGAGAGGCGGAACAGTAACACGCATGATCTAGTCTCAAACTAAAGTTAGTATTTGCAGTAACTTTACTAATTAGAAGAAAGGTTTGTGCATAAGGATTCCATAGCCGGCATTAGTTTTTAAGACGTTTCCGTTTAATTGTAGTTGTCGATCTTTATTATTAATTTTACAATATTTTAAGTATTCGTATATAATATTAAATTTATAAAAACAAAATTGTTACAAAAAAGATTGTATATAAGTAATATTTATATTTTTTTTATTATTTATATAATTATTTTAATTAATAAAATAAAATGTAACAAATAGAAAATGTTTTATTTACATGATTTTAGGGAAATGAAATACGCAAACACAAAAAAGAAATTAAAAACGCTATTGTCATAAATAAGTCAGAAAAGACATTTCATAAGGAATCCACAAAATTTATACTAAAATCCAAATAATTTATTTTTATTTTATTTAGTGTAGCTTGAAAATTTTCAAAGAATTTGGAAGACAGTTTTATAAGGATTAATAGTGTGGTCCTGGCGTAGGCACACTTTTGAGTGGAGAATCAAATTCAGGTTCCATTGGCTCCGGCAAGGGACCCTCCTGTATTGTACTACCAACGCGTTCCTGTAATGCGTCGAACAATTTGTGTACATTTTCATTTTGACTTGGTTGTGGTTGTATGGACTTCATAGAAGTCGTTAAACGGCCGACGGGTAATTTATTATGTATATACCTAATAACGAAATTCATTAGTTTTGATAAAAAAATAAGAATATAAGTTTTAATAATAAATAACTACCATATCAGTTTAAGCATATGACGAGTAACATTGTCACGTGGTGGACCAGCCAGAAGAAATCCATCAAAAAGTGTTGTACAGAAATCCTCAGTAGAGAACTCTTCTGACATCGGTATTAACAAAGCGATCTATTTTAAATATTGAATTCAACATTTATATATTACTAAAACTTTATTTGAAACTTACCAAAGAGTGTAGGAAAGGATCCTCCATTGCACGTTCATCTTTGCAAGAAGATAAAATTGACAAAACACGCAACAAGCCAACACGATCCTTTTGACGTGCTGCATGTAATGTATAATACATAGCTAAGATACTGGCTACGGAACTTTCTTGTATATAAGCCTCGACAGCATCAGGTGCAGGACCAGAATGTTCGATAGTTGTTAAAGCAGATTCACGTTCATCTGGTGGTAATTTTAAATGTAAACTTCGGCACTGATCGTCGACCATTAATGACATTAATGCAGGCAAAAATTTGCTGACAACTTGACTATCAAGTTTTGGCTCTTTGAAATCCTGTGAATCAATCATTATCCAAGCACTTAAACCCAGCGCCAACATACGTAATAGTAATATTAATATTGTGTTTTCACGTGCAAGACTCTCATTATTAATCAAATGTTGCAGAATTTTTATAGCAGAGGTTGCCAAAAAATTAATTGCATATGGATCGCATAAAGTCATAGATAAATCACCAAGTACCTAACATTATAGTTAAACTTATTAATATATAAAATATACAATATATAATATAATTACTTGTTCTTGTCCACGTTTGATGTTGTCTAAAAAGCCCTGCAACTCACGTGAGCGTTTTATGTCCACATTTTTCTCACGTATGCAAGCATCTAAGCACCAAGTAAATTTATGACAAGGATCAACAGATATGATTTCTTGCACTTCCAAATCATGCAATGCCATAAGCAGTTCAGCACGTAACGTACAATAATGTACATTTCGTGTACGTAAAAACAGCGTACGTAAGAATTGCAACACCATATCGTATAATTTAACACTGGTACCAATCATATTGGCTAACTTTTGCACTACCTCACCAGTTCGTCTGACTTTTGGTGTTGGATGAAAGAACAAATTAGTTAAATTGGTATGATCAAACAATATATGTTCTTTCTCGCGTATATATTGTGACAACAATGGTGAAACTTCATCACCAAACAATGACTGATTATCGCGCCATATTTGACGTTTCACTTCTGTGTCTGTGTCACTGTACAATTCACGATCGCGTACCAAAATACGTAAATATTTATCATCAATATGTGGTGTATTGCGTAGAATTGCCATTACAACTGGTCGCAAAGGTTTGACATGCACTACTGGAAAACTTTTCACAAGCAGTTCCTTCAATTTTTTATCACGTTCGCGTGGATCCTTCTGTCCCAATTCATTGATGTAGGCAATTAACTTTTCTCGAAGTTCCTAATAACAAATAAATATCTATAAACAAATCAACTGTTTTTAGTATTTTACAATATTACCTCAAGTAATGAATTATGAAATTCCAAACGACGTACGCCGTGTAAATCAAGCAGAGGCAGCATGGGCCGTAATGAAGGCAAGAGCACACCATTTTCCAGCTGGAATACAATTAAGTTTCATATAACAATGTGATTTGGTTCATATATAATTTACATTCAGAAATATTAATTTTATTCGAATAAAGTATTAAATATATTATTTATTATATTTTCATCGTATTTTGTTTTGTTTACAAATCGCCACACACCTGAAAATTCTCTATAGCTTTTAATGGATCAGTACATGATGTTAAGGCATCTCGCAGATATGCTTGTCCTGGAATATTTACTTCTTCAAGACCCGTCGTTTGTGGCGGAACAGACATTTTTAAACAAATAGTATTTTATTTAACAAAAACATTAAATTTTTCTCAAAAATTCGGTCTTAATGCGGCGTCTACACAACTAATAAAGTATAGAGTTGCCAGATATTGTTTATTATTATATTAAATATAAATCAACTGTCATTACATATGGAGTGTTGGCAACGCATGTGGTTGAGAACTCACGTATTACGATGTCAAAATGTGAAATTTTGTATATAATTATAATAATAAATATATAAATAATATTGAAATTTATTGTTGTAATTTAATACTATTCGAAATTAAGTGATATAATTGAAATTCATTTTAATATTTTTGAATATTTACAATAACTTATAAATTTAATGTTTGATAAAAACTTGGAAAATTAATCTTAAGTACCTACATATTACAGGGAAATATGTTAGCAAAAACTATGATTTGCATTAATATTACCGTAATGTACTACGCTATATCTTCAATATGCTAATATATATTAATAAATTAAAAATCTCAAATTTTTCACTTAAAGCATACATCTACAAAATTTTTTAAAAATACAATTTTTCGTGATTATTTAAAATTTATTTAATTGTTCATTGTATTCATATATTATGCAAATGTAATGTTTTGATAAGTGCGAAGTGAAGACAAGATATTTTTCAGTAAATAATTATGAATAAAAACACATAATACTAGGTCTATTCCACGAGCTATTTGTAGTAGAACACAAATTTGTTCTAGTAAATGAGAGCATATGAGAAAGCATAACATCGCTGTCAAAATTTGTAAATGCTACACAGACTTTACTCGTACATTTTATTTCAAGTAAAATTTGTGTTGATGTGTGAATCAGCTGTTTTACTTTGAATTGAAATTTTTGTGTTGTTTATTTTGCGCGGCACTGGTGTTCTCACTAGATTTTACACAAAGATGTTCCATGAAAATCTGTGTAAATAGCATAATTTGGCACTTTATTTGTGTTAAGCTTTCAGTTTATACTTTATTTGTGTCTTACTTGAGTTTTACTATTAGTAGCTCATAGAACAGACCTATTATATACGCACTCATAACGGAAGCAGACGTAGTATTATATGTTGTCGTATTTAAACATTCCATTTCTATTATTTTTATCAAAATTCTAGCAGAAGTACTCAACATATTTTTTTAAATGATAACTATATAATTTTAAATCGCGTATATATCAGAATAGAGTATGGCTAATAGTTAATAACAAATGTAACATCAATTTTCTAAACTAAATTAATAACTTCTTAAAATTTTTAAGGTGGCATCACCACATTTATCAGACGAATTTGCTCTGTTCTTTATATTTTATTAAATATTTGTATCGTTTAATAGTTCTGTATAAATTTAAGTTGTTATAATAAAAATAAAATACTTTTTTAAATTTTCTGAGCCTCAGTGCATAAACATATGAATTTAAATTAAATTTTTTTCACAAAAATTTCAAAAAACGGTTAGAAGTAAAAAGTAAATAGCAGCGATAAAGAAACTGAACGAGTTAGTTGCATCGAGTGTCGAGTACATAACTTTTTAAATTTACATTACATTTCAAGTTATGATTAGCGCTAGTAAGTAACTGTATTTGAAATAAATTACTATTAAAACTAATTTGGAATGGATATAACAACAGAACGTAAACGATATCAAAAAAGTTCGTCCTCCACTGACGATACATTAACGTTAATACGATTGGTGCGGGAAAATCCAGCGTTGTACAATTACAAATTGGATCCCTATCAAAGGCGACGTAGTGATATACTTACAGGTTGGACAAAAATTGCAAATCAATTGGGAGGTATATTATATGTAATTTTGAATGAACCTAATAAATAAATTAATATTTTGTAGCTAAATATACAGTGGAGGAATGTCGTAGGAAATGGAAAAATTTACGTGATACATATCATCAGTACAGGCTGCGAAAACAAAACGGCGGTAATGATTTCTCTAAGTGGAGATATGCTACAGAATTGCAGTTTTTATCTACAATTTATCAGCCTAAATTAAAAGTAAATCGTCAACAAAATTATATTAATAAATGTGGAATGCTGCAAACCACAACGCATTCATCGACTGAAAATGCCGATAACACTAAAATTGTTTTAGATGGTATACTGATGACCTATGATGAACATGATACTAAAGTTCTAGAACATATACACAGCGATAATAATATGGGTCATTTAAAATTAAATCAAAATGATTTTGCTGTTGAAATTGTTAAAACGGATCCGCTAGTTGATGATGATTGTGTTACAGCCGCTATGGAACCTAGCTATGAAGAAGTTTGTTTATACGAAGAGTCAGGTAATGCATCGATGGATTGTGAAACAATAATTGGTGGTCATAATGAAACAGCGAGCACTTCTCAGTATGTGGATGCGCATGATTTTTGCATAGATTCTATGAATGTACACACGTTGCGTGCTAGCAGTAATGACAACAGCAATATGTTATCCAATAATATAAGTCCAACAAAAATTCGAACTGCAGATTTTAAATGTTTAAGTGAAATAAATTCAAGCAGTTCAATTAAACAAATAACTAATGCGACAATTAGTACTACAATGAATGAAGAGGAAACATCATCATCGTTATCCGCAAAAGATCACCAACAAAATGAAACCAACGAAGAATTAGATTTATTTTTTGATTTTCTTAAAAAGAAAATACAACATTTTTCCAAAGATAGAATCACTGCAATTCAAGTCGAATTTTTAAATTGCGTACTAAAGCACGAAGAGAAAAAATATAGAAATAAATAATTAGCATAGTTATTTATAAAATAATGTATTTAATTGTATGATATAACATTTTCAAACTAAAACAAAAATAATGTGTATAGAATTAAGTTTTAAACATTGTAAAAATAAAAAGATTTGCTAGCTTATCAAGCAGGTTAGAACTGCTTTCAGTTAACCTAGATTTCAACCCACTGTTATGTGGAAATGTTCAAAACGAGCTGTTAGTGATTTAAAATATTTTAATTTGTTTTTAAAATAATTCATTTCACATATATGTAAATAGTGTACATAATATAGTTTGTTGTAATTTAAAATATTAAACATGTATAAAGATTTTTATTTTAATTATATTTATTCTTAAATTAAATGAAAAATGTTAAAAAATATTTAAATTATATATCAAGTAAATATTTAAAATGTAATTAGACCGACACTTCTATATAGGTGTGTAGCGTTTAGTAAGGCCTCAAACACTACTATTTGCCAGCTGCAAATTGCGCAAAGCTGGGTTCTGAGAAAACTTTTCAAAGTGCCATGGTACATTAGGGCAAATGACATTCTCAGACACCTCAAGAAAGTACAACTATTTACGAAAACAGACAGGCTTACCAACACCGCGTTATTAAATTTTAGAATGGCTCCTCGGGTAGGTATGCAGATCTGAGATCAATTATTGCTTAGTCAGATGAAGTGATAAACAATAATCCAGTAGGCGTGGAGAGGGGTTATGAAGAAACTTAGCAGTGTTAATAGAGAGTAAAAGTGCTCAAGTGTACTGAAAATTTAATATACAAATTTTTTATTTTAATATTTAAATCTATTAATTTAATTAATTATATAAAGTTAGATAAAAAAAATATTTTAAAATGATTAAAATCTAACAACTAAGTGAGTTTTATAATAGTAAAAATTGTATTTAATCACTATAAAATTCAGTTGAGCTCACATGTAAATAAAAAATCTATTTTACTATTTAAGCTAATGTTTTTGAAACAAATATTGCCAATAACAATATTAAGATGTACTTTTTTTAAAAAGTTCTAAATAATTTGTTATGAGAATAAAATATCATATTCTAGTCTAAAATAAAAACACAAATTTCAATTTAATTATTTTCATCCGATATTTGCAACAATTTAGCATAAATAAATATGGACATGTACCCTAGATCGCTTGTGAAAGTGGAAAAATTGGAATTTAAAACTATTCTACTTATATAAATATGCAATTAACTTTTTTTTTATTTTTTATATTACTTTATAAGGAACCTTAAAAAATATCCTGAATTAAAATTGTCCGCTTCTAGTAAAATTTTTTATTATTTATTTTTTATAGAAGCGACAAAAGCAAAAAAGATCACTCGGCATAAGAAAAGCGATAAGGCCATGTGCAATTTCGAGTAAATTGAGGGAAATAGTAAATTATGTCGGTATGGCAGCGATAAATAATAAATAAATTTGAAAACTTTTAACCAAATTTAATAAATAAGTGCAATAAATAAATATTCACATAAGTGCAGTGCAAAAAATCCCTAGACAATTTCAATTTATTTTACTTAAATTTACTCGAACTCGCGCACGGTCTAAATAGTTGATTGAGCTGTTTGTACTTTTTTCGAACGCTTCTTACTATTTGCCAAACTCACTTACCTTTTTTTCGAACGCTCCTTGTATATATTAACAAGGCGGGAATAGAAAAGTTTTGGCGCCATGCTACATAAGTAATCAAATGATCATCCAACACAAAATGCATATTTTATCTTATATTAAAAACTACATTTAATTAAATAAATTATTATAAATTCAGGACATTAGAAGTATCAATAAATTTAGTGACGGACGTTCATTTGATCGTATGGTTAACATGACCCTTAAGATTTACCTCAAAAGAAGGTTGAAAGCCCTGATGTAATTCTTATTACATCTGCTATATACATACATACATATGTATATAGCAAAATAAAGAGAAATTGTCGTAATTTATTTATTTATTGTAGTGGATGACCATACAGTTTCGAGTATTGTCAAATACCCATCATCCCTGGTCTTGGAAATAATTATTTTGCTTAATTATTCGTAAATAATTTTTTGAGAGAGCAAGTACCAGGAACGCGTATCCTGCCAGCGCTTCTTAAACAGCTAACCTAAAGACGTACTTGACTTTTAGGTTCGCACATTTTTCTGGAGTTTTGTTACTTTGCTGTGAAAGTTTTATTAACAAATTCACTTGCTGTGTTTATATTAAAACTAAATCATAAATTAACTGGAGAATACTTAAATTAATTAATTATATTTTTATTTATAATTATTAAATTTCAATACTATTCTGTTTGTAGAGGCATTATTTGTTGTATGATTTCTATATTCTTTCATACGTATAGAACCTAATCTGGGAACGTAATACTGAGAAAGTCATGCTAATGTTACTCCACGATTCACACGGGCGAGACCAATATATTGTGAATATATTATTAATATTATGATTATATATTATTTTTTTAGTATTTATTTATTTATTATTATTATTTTAATTGTATTAATTATTTTTTAAATATTTCATTAGTATTATGTCCTTTGTTTTGGGCTTTTGTATAAACTTTGAGAGAGAATTAATTGACTTAGCACGTGTGAGAGTTAGGCTAAATTGCGTTCTAAATACAGATACAGTGGCGGAGCTAGACCAACTCTGGACGTCGGCGACATTAGAATTGCGAGGCCCCCTTTATAACCCAGTTGTAAAACTAAATAAGTTACATTCACTAATATGACAAAGCATGATTGAAAGTTTTATTGCTAATCTTTTACTTTTAGCTTCACTTAATTTTTTTTTTAAATTATATCATAATTTGTTCCAGCTGCTATTTTCGCTTCAGTTTATAGAATTTCGAATGGAGATAGTCTCTCTTGGATCATCATAATTATATAGTACGTCTTAATCAATTTTAAATTTGAAAAGCTTCTTTCCGTCGAAGCTATACTGACTGGAACTGTGAACATGAATCTGGTTACTATATAAACATTCGGAAATATTTGAATAGGTTAATGCCATCATCAAACCAAATTGTTCAAAATATTTACTAAGTGCTTAGAATCCACAGTCGGTAACTTTTCGCGAGGCCCCTGTGGGCGCGAGGCCGTCGGCGGTCGCCGACATCGCTGACGCCTAGCGACGCCTCTGTACAGAGATTTACAAAATTTATTGCAAATGGTCATTAAATAATGATAAATATATGCACAAAGTGATCAAGTTTTCGGTTAAAAGTTTTCTAATAATGATGATTAATTTTTTTTTAATACAAATAAAACAAAACGTTTTAATAAAATTTTTTTTTATTAAAAATTTCTATATTCATATATTCATTTAAATTCACATATGAAAATATTATCTTATGAAAATACTAAAATGGCAGCCCTGGCGATTTAGTCTCGACTTAGCCACCTCGAAAATATGCTAAGTATCGACACATAACTACATTATCGGCACAACTTAGAATTTCCCTTATTTAGAACGCAACTTAGCCTAACTCGCACACGTCTTTAGTTTCTAAAAATTTTTATTTACACCAATATTTGGACTTTATTCTATAGTCCTGAAGATGACTAAGATTATAGAATACAGTCGAAATATTGGTGTTAATAAAACATTATTTATTATTAATGTTTTTTTATGTATATATTAATCCAACTACAGGTCACCTTTTTTTTAAATTAATTCTATATTCTCAAGAAGAGCCAAAATATAGAATATAAAATATTAAAAAATATTAAACAATCATTTAATCATTTAATATATATAAAAAACATTATTTTAGTAACCAGATTTAGTAACAAATTAAATTATTATTATATATTATATTATTATAAGTGTATTATTTAACAATTGATCAATTAGCCCATGTCAAAAACAGAATTATTTATAAAAATTTTGGTCATTTAAGCAATAAATAGTTTCATAATTTAGTGTAAAATAATTTATTGTAAAAAACTCGTTAGTTTTTTTAACGAGTTCCAAATAGATAAACATGTTTCAAACTATAGTTTTATTCGGTTAGCAGCCGATTTAGATTTTAGTATTATTTTTAAAACTAAAATATAAACACAAACAGAATATGAATCCAATAATTGATTTCATTAAATCAGTTTTAATATTTAAAGGAGAAGCAAATCACAAAAATCTGACTCAAGAATTTTATAGAAATTTTATAACAGGGCACAGACTTACACTCAGGGGAAGAATAATAATTGAAGGATGTAATTGTTCTTACTGATGATTGGTGTGTAGGAACTCACGCAGAGAAACTGCGCATTCCCCATAACACTCACTGCAGAAGTTGTGAAAACCCGCAGGAGAAAAAAACCATAATACATTTTCTCTGTATATGCCCAGATTTGGCGTCCAGAAAATATAGGTTCTTAGCAAAATACTTCTTTGATAGTTTAACAGACTGTTCATTGGTGATCACGAAAGACCTATTAAATTACCTAAATTCGGTGGGATGAATTTGGTCTCTACTCTTCTATACTAGGGTCCTTGCGAGGAATGTGGTAGCAAAACGACGAAAAATCGCTAATTGAGGTACACGAAAGTTACCAACCAATTGTGATAAATAAGTATAAAACAGGTTACAATAATCTTAAGGCATTGTTCATTATTATGTTAACCCTCTTGTTTGTTATGTACAACACTTTTATGGCCATTATCTGTTGGCATCTGAATGATAAATTTTTATAGCAAAGATCTCTTATCTTATCTTGATGAGATAATATTTTCTTAAAAGTAAAAGTCTTTGTTCTTTTTTAAGCTCTTCTCTGATTTATACAAACCAATATTATTAATAATATTATTAATGCTTTTGCATCCCCATACAGGAAATCTGCCTTCAGAGTTTGATAATAATGGCCATCTGCATTGAAACGTCAACGAGACCCTTACGTTACTTAAACCATTATTGCATTATTTCATTTCAAACTTTTTCAGATCTTAGTATAGTTAATATTACAAATTTGCATACATCTGTAGTTTTTAGAATATATATTTAAATAAATAATAAAATATTTGTACCAGAAAAACTATAAATCTTTAGTAATACATTCAATGCTGTTATTAAAAATAATTTTGATTTTTTTTTTAATTTTGACATTTTTAATTATTAATAATTATTTCTTTTTTATACAAAAACAATAACAAAAACTGCTTAGCAAACAAAAATCGCATTATTTACGAATTGGTCACAAAAAAGTGAAAGGCTATAAAATTGCACATTAAATAATTTATGAAATTATTTACATTGGAACTCGTATGTTGTCTGAATTATAAAATTTTAAATATAAATTTCTCAATATAAATCAGTTTAAGTTTTTACAGTTGAATTGGCAATAAAATCAGTGTTAAAGTATATAACCGTCACAGTTATATCATCACGATACAAACGCACCACATCTTGTGGTAAAGACAAGTAATATGATATCTTTGAGAATTCGATACCATAATCCGTACTACCTAAAGCATTACGTATAAGATGTGTAGCAGAGTTTTGATCCAATGGTTTACGTGCACGGCCAGCCCTACACAAAAAAAGAAATATACGTATATAACAAATAAAAAATTTAAAAATTGTATTATACTAACTTTCTTTTCCCCAATATGTCTGAAACCTCACCCAATTTAACATCGCCAGGTGGTAATTTCATTGGTTCAAGATACTTTTTGGAAGCCAAATGATCACCTACTAATGTAACAATTTGCGATGGCGAGAGAAAATCAAAGAGACCATCGCTGGCAATAACTAAAAATTTATCATTTGGCGTAAGTACGTGATGCATGACTTCAGGACGACCTGAAAGATAAGGTGGGGTATAATAATTTGGTGGCACAACATTTGGTCCAAAGGTGGGTATGACATATTTATCCATAATTTCATGTGACCACTTATAACGGAAGTCGCCAAGTGCACGTAAAGGCGCTAGTTGACTTAGTAAACGGTCATTGCGTATTACAGTGTCTTTTTCTTCTGCAGGATGTTCACCAAGTATTCTTGTAACTTCTTGTATATTATCTACATTGTGTTCATTATTGAGTTTTTTGGCATGCCATTGACCGGTTTCAGCAGATTGTACACCAAGTACTGCTGAACAATCGCCCACGCTGGCTACATGTAAATCCAAATTTTCAATATATGCAACACATGCCACGGCACCTACATCGAGAAATATATTAATACCTTAAATATACAGTTAATTTATATTTTATATACCCGACATAGCGACTGACATTGTGAGCATATTACGCTGCTTAAGCGCCTCTTCGGAGAGGTCATTATCTAAAGATACAAATGCATTTTCAATCGCTGCAGCTCGACTTTCTGCTTCTTGACTAGATATTGTTGCTATAAAACTACTAAAACTATTTTCATATATATCCTTTATATCTTTTACGAAGTCCACCTATAAGTACACACATATATATAATTATTTTAATTTTAAATGGAAGATTGAAATATAAAATCTTACCTTATCATTGTGGCAGCGTAAAAACGATTGGCTTGTACATCCTTTGGCAATTTGGTCTCTTAATACATCGCGGTCAACAACTGAAGCAGCTATATATCTTAATAAGCGTTTAGAGACGACTTGTGAACACGAAGGTCCTGCATGACCATCGAAAATGCCACATATAAATGCATTTTTATGTATAAAACTGGCCTCAGTGCGCGTATCTTCACACGGACTATTCGAGCTGAGTTGATTTGATTCGTAACTGCGGATAGTGTTGTCCTCTTGGAAATTGTGCGTGTACTCATGTTCACGTAATAGTAAATTTACCTATAAGGTGACGGTTTTATTAAAAATTTATACACATATTTATACACACATATAATTCTACTCACATCGTAGGGTGATAATTGTGGTTGAGCTTCCCGCCTTCCTGTAAAATGAAACAAACGTTTACTTACAGGTTCTTTGTAAGTAAGATGATGTCGTGCAACGACGAAATTACGTATCAAAACTGTTAACATCTAATGTTTTTGCTGAAAATTAAATGAAATTGCAGTTATTTTTAATGCACATGCACATATGCAAAATATTTTTGACATACGTGTGGGTGGGCTACTTCGAATGTATTACGTCGTTTGATAAACAAATAATTTTTGTATTTAAATCAAATTGAGGTTGCTTTATGTCGAATATTTGTTTATTTGTTAGCATTTATATATAATAATTAATACTAATTAATTCGTAGTAGAATACCGCGAGTGTAACAACACTAAAACTATCTTTGGCAAATGAAAAATATAAAATTTTTTCGTAATATAATTACAATAATTGTGTTAAAACGTTGCTTAGAATTTAAGAAAATTGTTTATTGTTATATATAAACAATTAACCCAAAATTTTAACGCCGTAATTGATGAACGCGATGAAAAACTAGTAAAATAGCAAACAGCTGATTTGTTAATATTTTGACACTTGAGCTCCGAGCTATGTTTATGAGGAAATAAAAATTATTTTTGAACACAAAAATTTTGTAATTCTAACAAATTCATCACTTTCCTCTTTTTGTTGGAATTATTTCCATTATTTGAAAAGTTCAGCGATTTCACAAATATTCAATTAATATTGAAAAACATAATTAATTAAAATAAAAGATTTGTTAAACTTTAATTTTAATAAATAACAGATATTAATTTTTTTTTAAAATAATTGATAATTTAATAATTGTTTATTATTTAAAAATTAACAAATATTAATCAAAGATTCTTGACACTTTCTTAAATGAAACATAATCTTACTAGATTTTGTATAAAAATAATCGAATTATATAAATAACAAAATCGACAATATATTTATATTATGTTCACAATTAGACCAATAAAACTTTTTAGAAATTTTCTAATAAGGATTTTGTATAAAAAGTAGCACCTATTCCTGCATATTTGTTAAGTTAAATAGAAACATAACATTTTCTCGACAAGCTTGTAGAGTTTTATTACATTTACCATATAAAATCCACACAGATTCCATGTAAGCATATGCTGGACAATAATGTATGTACGTATTTGAAAAGTCCAGTGTGATAATCGTGCGGGTTACTTTTAATAAAATCAAACAGAAAATTTATAATTTCTCGTAATAAATACATTTTATTTCATAATCCGTTACATAAATCGAAAAATTATTGAAAAATTTGTGAATATATTTATTATTTATTAATTTCAGAATTTTAACACTAACTAAAATGAAATCTCAGAATCGTTACAGACTCCTCGAGGAGGTATGCAGATCTGAGGTCAATTATTGCTTAGTCTGATGAAGTGATAAGCAATAATCTAGTCAAGGTGTAAAAAAGGGATTTTAAAGAAACCTCGAGTCAAAAAAGAGTATAAGTGCTTAAGTGCACAAGCTCAAAACAGCTGCAACATAATAAAATGAGAATGTGTGACAGCGAATCATATTAAAAAGCAAATTTCAAAAACAAAAAAAAAAAATAAGCAAATATTTTTAGTATTTTTAAAAATAAAATTTTTTTAAAACAATAATTGTTGAATTATATTCGGAAATAAAAATATGCCAATTAATTAATGCCAATTAATTAATGCCAATTAGCGTCCACTAATTGTGATATTAAATATAGTGTAAAGTATATAATATATATAATTCAACAAATAATAATAAGACATATGACATGAATAAGAGAAAATATCTGTATTATAATATAAAGTGTTACTAATTTCTTTTATATATAAAGACTATATGTATATATAAACATAAAGCTCCAATTTTTTATGTTTTATGAATTTTTTATTTTCAAATTCAATAAAATTACTTAAAAAGCTTCACCAAAAATTCAATGTAAATAAATTCCACAGTTTGGATTAAGCATTCAACAATATAATCTGTTTTGTAAATTTGTTAAAGTGCCAAGTTTTAAAACTTCATGCAAAATATTTGACTGTTTAACATTTTAGCTATTTAGCATACTAACTAAAAATCGTATAGAAAACCCAAATTTGATAACTTTAATATAATATTTTAAGTTAAATTAATAATTTAATTGATTTAATAAGCAAAACTGCATTAATAATTACTTTCACATTAGTTTTATTTTGTTTAAGGCATAAAAAGTAAGTCCAGTAGCTCGTTTATGTAAATCGTTCGAGTTTAACTCGAACGAAATGGAACGTTTTTTGAAAAAATGGAACGAAAATGAAACAATTTTAAAAGGTTGCTTAGTGTTTGCAAATAGCACTTGTACCAAAAATTTTAATCTATTCACTTTAACTTACTTTTTTCCATTCAAAATTCAAAATTCAAAACTTCTCGCAAGCAATTTGACAGGTGACAAAAACTCGAACGAAAAAAAGTGAGAAAACAATTCACCACAGTTACATAAACACTTCTAGTGAGTAATTGTCAAAAGTGAGAAAATCGTTCGAGAAAACGAAGTGAGAAAGTTACATAAACGAGCCACAGATTTCTAAAATATTATTGAAATAACTGACTTAAGAATTAATATTTTTGCGACATTTTTTTTAAATTTGGGGAATAACTTTTAATATCCTTTAATAAATTGAGTTTTTAAATTGAATTGATATTTATTTATTTCTTTAAATATTTATTTTTTAATTTATTTACTTATTTATTTGTTTATTTATTTTTTACATATTTATTTATTTACTTATATACTGTTTTTAAGTAATAAGATATATAATTTACAGTAATTGTATATAAAAAAGTAGCGGTCTCGAATAAATTTATATTCAATTTATATTATGGTAGATTAAAATCTAATATGCTTGTTTATAAAATTAATTTTATAATAATAGGGAAAAAAATTTTAAAAAAAAATCTTATATACTGCTTTAATAAATATTAAAAATTGATTGTGATAATACATATTAATACACTGATTTATTGCTATATTACACATATAAATTTTTATTTATTTATGTAAATAATTATGTATCAACTTATTTAATTATTTGAATATATTGACATATTTTATTATTTATATAATAATAATAATAATTACAAATATAATATTTTATATTTATATTACATTATATTAAATCTAAACATTATTTAATATAAATGTTTACGTTTTTAATTATTTGAATATGTTAAAATAATATTATATATATAATAAAAATAATAATTACAAATAAAGTATTTTATATTTGTATTACATTACATTATATTATGTTACACTATCTAAATAATATTTAATATGAATAATTTTATATTAACGTATTTAATTATTTAAATACGTCCACATACTTTATTATTTATTTAATAAAAATAATAAATACAAATATTATATATTATATTTATATTAGATTATATTAAATCTAAATAATATTTAATATAAATATTTATTTATATTAACTTATTTAATTATTTGAATATATTGACATATTTTATTATTTATATAATAATAATAATAATTACAAATATAATATTTTATATTTATATTACATTATATTAAATCTAAACATTATTTAATATAAATGTTTACGTTTTTAATTATTTGAATATGTTAAAATAATATTATATATATAATAAAAATAATAATTACAAATAAAGTATTTTATATTTGTATTACATTACATTATATTATGTTACACTATCTAAATAATATTTAATATGAATAATTTTATATTAACGTATTTAATTATTTAAATATGTCTACATATTTTATTGTTTATACAATAATAATAATAAATACAAATATTATATTTTATATTTCTATTTTATTATATTAAATTTAAATAATATTATATATTAACAAGTTTAATTATTTCAATATGTTACTATATTTTATTATATATATAATAATAATAATAATTACATATATTATATTTTATATATATATTATATTATATTAAATCTAAATAATATTTAATATGAATAATTTTATATTAACTATGTAATTATTCATATATATATATGAATAATATATATTTTGTATTAATTATATAAAATGTATTATATTATGTTTTATATATAAATTATATTAAATCTAAATAATATTTAACTTGAATAATTATATATTAACGTGTTTATTATTTGAATATGTTAACATATTAAATTATTTGAATAAATGTGAATAATGACATTGCGCAATATGGTTTCCGAATTTTTATTGAAAACTCTACATAATAAAAATAAGTCTCCAATAAGTTTGGAAAAATAAATGTACACCTGTTTCTTCTGTGCTGTCACAATTTTTTTCGAGGGTGTTTATATTTTTTCGTTGCCCGAGTGAAATTTTCAATATAAAACTTTTCGCATAATAAAAATTGTAAATATTATAGAAAAGTGTTAGAATTAATTAAGATATATTAAATTTAAAATATATATCAATATGCGAAAGTAAATATGTCAAATAAAAATGTTTGTTGTTAGCATACGTGCAGTGCTCGTCGCCAGAAAAATGACTACAGCAGCGCTGCTGTGAAGAAATTTTCCAATAGAATTTTCAACTAATTTTTTTTATGTGTGTGCAATAGATTACAAATAAATTACAAATAATTTCATAATATAATACATTTAAACATAAACATTATTATATGTGTACATAATAAAACGTGGAAGGTTTGTTTTCAAAGAAGTGAAAAATGTTTGCAAGTTAAAAATGCTGTGAATATTAAATATTGGTGTGGAGAAGAGAGGAGTTGGCTGATGGGCTGTGGAATAAAATGTCTTATTAGATTTAATAAGCCAAACTGCATTGGTAATTACTATTAATTTAGTTTAGTTATATTTTAAGTTTTTATTTATTATAAAGTATAAAAATTATGTATTAAGTAATTTAATACCATAATAAATAAAAAAAAAATTGTGTACATATTGTCAATTCCTTTTGTGTGATTGGTGAAAGCTGTTAGCTGCGCTATGCGAAAGAAAGTTTTCATCTATATTTTTTTTTTTGTTGTTTGCATTTCTTGTGTCATTTGTTGTTTTTTAAGCGCTTAAAGTGGTTTTGCATTACCACGACAAATTACAAACCATTTGAGCGATTAGGTTACCTTAAATAAATGGAAATAATTAAAAACTGTAAATAATTGTTTATTGCGGGAGTTCAACAAAAAAAAAAAAATATCCTAGCACCTTTGTGACCGCGTAAAAACCAAATATGTGTGTGCAGTTGAATTCCGTTAAGTGAATAAATAATATTTTATCTTTTAATTAAAAAAAAAATTAACTAAAAGTTTAAATTTTTTATATTTTTCAATTGTGATTAAATTATAATTAATACCAGGTCGAATAAACCTAGCAGTCAAGTACCTTATTCTTAGTTAACTTTAAAATTAATTTTAATGGTAACTCACAAATAAATAAATATAATTAATAGATTATTAATTATAAAAAATTAAATGTCAGGAGCAGTTTTGAAGATTAACAGTTATAAGACCTTCAGAACTTAACTTGAATAAAATAATTTTTAACACATATGGCAGGCAGAGAATTTTTTAAGAATCTGTGAAAGATATCTTTTTTTAAATGTTAATTATCTATTATTAAATAAATATCAATTAATACAATCCTATTAATTTTATTATTTTATTACTATTTTATTTGGTTCAAGTAGACATACTATAAAAATTTAGAATACAGTCAAAATTCCATAACTCAAACTTCTATAACTCGAATTTTCTATAACTCGAACCAAAAACCGTACACCAAGGTTTCAGAGAGCAAATTACATACAATTCTGCTTTCATAACTCGAACTTCTATAACGCGAATTTCTCTATAACTGAAATAAAAATTTTATCACGTGCCAATAGGAATATGAGAAAGTGCATCCTATAAATCGAATTTTTGTTTTAAGTTTGAATCCATTTTGATGTTAGGGAAAGACCCTTTTTCCAAACCAAATGCATCAATTTTTTCTTTCTTATGTTACTTTCTTGCGCAAGCGGCAGTTCCTATGAAAGGGTAGTCAAACGGGTGCGCACTACTTTAAAAAAGCTGTATTTGGCCAATTTCTCCAGGTCGACATTCCTTTGAATTTCTGAAATAACATAGATGAAGACCGTGTAATGATGTAAAAATAAAGTAAATAAAATAACTTCCAATGCTACTCTTAACCATTGTATTATATTGAGCTTGAAAATGACATTTATACATCAAGCTTTCCTACAGACAACGATATTATTGAGCATTATAGCTTTAAATTAGTGGATCCAATTCTAAGTGGAACGGAAACTAATGATGATGGTTCGGTAGATGAAATTATTCATTAGTCTTCAAAGCATGAAGTAGAAAATTCATTCAAAATTCTGAATTTTTATTTACAAATGGATGATACTCGAACTGATGATCACTATAAGGCTTGGAATAAATTGGAATCTTTTTTTTGCTGAAAAAAAAAAATAAATAAAACCCCAAACACTAATTTTTAAATGTTCCACTTCGCTATATAATATTTGGTTTCAAATAAATATATATCTTAAAATGTAATTCTAGTTTCATTCAAAAAAAAAAAAATAATAAAACAATTCTTTAACTAAAGGTCTCCATAAGTCGAACCTTTCCTTTTCAAAATGGTACTTCGAGTTATGGAAGTTTGACTGTATATAGATCTATACACAATTTCACTACATTTGAATAGGAAGAAATCTAATTGTTATTATAGTAGACAGTAGAAATCGATTCGACAGATAATATGAAAGGAATTACAAATACGAATACATGGGTTAGGATATGTTTGGGCAAAGGAAGTGTAAAAAAAGAAAGCAGATCTACTCCCATGATGCTACTATAATCTGTATTTCTGCCCCAACGCATTTACAAAATTGATTTCAATCAATCATTGGAACCGCTTCAAAGAAGTGGATAGATTTTCCTAATTTGAAACCTTTTGATTTCAATTTAAATACCATGAACCCTTCAATTTATTTTGAATCCTAATAATACACTCCCCTCGCACATTACCATAACCTATCTTAATCCATGTATACATTTTTGCAATTCCTTTCATGTTATCTGTTTGTTTATACTTGCGGGCTACAACAACAACAGGGGATTGTTCGGAAACAAGATTGAATTCTGAGATTTGGGATTTATCCTAAAAGTGCCTAATCTCAAATAATCGTGTGATCTTATTGAGATATCCCGTGGATATATTTATTATTATCCATCATCTGAAGTTCCTTCCTAAGTTTTCCTACATATACGGTAACACAATGGGCCAATAGGCTTAAGTTGATCCACTAGGGATTGCCGATAAAACCTAAGCTAACATAACACTGTTATTGAGCATCAGATTATTATTAGTTTCGTCACAATATATGCAAATATAGATTAATATAAATAATGTTGTTAATAATGAGACATGATTTGGAGGTTCTAACTGAAGTATAAAGAAAAAAATAAAAATTTCTGCAACGGTCTCTGCTTGAACAATGTATACAGTACATGATGCGTTTAATTGACCAGGTCGATGGCTATGTTCTGAGTTCTAATAATAAACATTTTTCTGACAATTTCCGTGTCCACTTTTTTTCTTTATTTCTGTATAGTTAGAAACACTGTTCATTAATATTAAAAAACGCAAAATACGAAAAAAAAATTTTTTGTGGAAATAAAAATCTTTTCGTAAGATCTTTTCATAGGATCTCAATCTCAAAAAAAAAAAAAAAAAAATACGACATATTAGGCATATATTTTAAAATGTTTGTAGTCTTCACCAGATGTTCTCTAATTTATTCCTATTTTTGAACCGTTAAGTTGTACTAGATATATCTTAGGTCTTCTGATATAAAAGAAGACTACAAAATTTGTAATGATTGGCTAATACTGAAGATACCTCTATAAATTTCATTTATGTTATTATGTATTATTTTGATTTTGACAGTTTGAAACATAAAAAGTGTTTGCAATTTTTATGAACCTGAGTAAAGTCATGATGTCATAAACAATTTTCCCACTTTCTCAGTAAATATATAATTGTTTTTTAAATGTCCTCACACATTCTGATAGTTTCTAAAGTAGTCTCCACTATAGCATTATTATTTGGCAGTGGAGACGAGTGTTCTCATTTCTGATGTTACTCTGTTATCTGAAAGTGTGGTTTGTGTTTAGTCAGTTCCTAAGCTCTATACTTCCTCATAATACAATGTACACGAAAACCAAAAGCACATGAAAGTTGGTTCAAAGACGAGTAGCAGTAGTCTCTATGGTTGAATTATACGTGAAATGATTGATAACGCTGTTGAATGTCGCTTACACCTTAAGATACTCCCTATAGGATTGTTATAACTTCAGCTTAAGAAAACACTTTAATAGTCAGATACAAGATCGGTATCTGATGTTAATTGACGTATTAAGAGTAACCGACAATAAAGCATCTCACATTTATTTTCTAATTTTAAGTGTTCTGTGTGAATATGGGTCGACTTACCGCTATTAAACGATTTAGAGTTCCAATATTGCATGTAGGGAATATAGTCGATATGTCTGAAGTTTTGTGCAGTTTTTGAAGGCTTGATTTGTTTATTTTGAAAGATAGTTTAAAAATTAAGAAATTTTCTTCAAAAGATATTAATGCCGATAACAATATTTATGTACTTGTATCTTATGTGCTTAATTTTTAAATAAAATTTCATATTTAATATTAAATTACTAAATTGAAAGAAATTAGATTCTTTATATTAAATCTGAGGTCAATTATTGCTTAATCTGATGAAGTGATAAACAATAATCCAGTCAGGGCGTAGAGAGTGGTTATCAAGAAACCTCAGAGTTAATAGAGAGTAAAAGTGCTCAAATGCACTGACTCAACTAGCCTCAACATAATAATAGATTCTTTATATAAACTGTTGTTTTCAATAGAGAGGTTTTTATCGAACAGAATTATTATTTTATTAAATATTTCCATAAGATATACTTCAATTTAATATACCTTATGAAAATACATAAAATACAATTTCTTGAAGAAAGTCCGACTCATTTTTTAACTTTCGGTTATTTTGAAATTCTCTGATTTTTTATATAATACAATGTATTTGACATAAAAAGCTTAGTTTTTATTCTTAAATAGTTTTACTTTCAATTCCATATAAAGTTTTTATGACGACTCTAGCTATAAATCTTCGTCATGTTCATAAAATAAAAAAAAAGTATCTTATGTGTAAATATTATCTTTTAACGCCATTAATTAAAATGTTTACTGCACATTTCATTTGAATATCATTTTGTTTATACTATTGTGTCTATTTAATCAAGTCAACTTTTTACCCAATGTAATCCATGGTGATACCCTACATATCGTATCTATCTAGCGATAAACTTGAGATACTTATAAAAGTTGTAAATTATATTTTTATTAAACAAAAAATTGTTTGAAAATACATTTTATTTTGCTAACTTTGTAACTATTTTTGATTAGATATAATAGTTTATATAATAGCTTTATAAAAAATAAAAATTAATCAAATTAATTTATTAAATTAATAGAAGTATTTCATTATGTAGCTTCGAGTAGAGTTCGTTTTCAGTTGAAGTATTACTGCGATTTAAATGAATACATCCCACTCTTCTTTTATATTTTCTACTTAGAAGAAAACCGAATCCTTTCAGGTAAGAAAGAATTTTGTACATTTCAATATTCGGATCAATTGTTTCCTGAACACTATATGTTCATAAATAAATATTGGTTCTTGTTGTGTATTTCTGTGATTCGCTTCTTTTAGGAAGAGTCTACCTTACTAACACTATTGAACACTAT